TTCAAAGAAAACAATATTTTACTGAAACGACAACAACAAAAATAATAAAATAAACTTGCCAGCAAGAATTCATCGTTTTTTTTTTGCTTTGCAATCGCACACACATGTAATCCCTCCTGCCTGATTCAGTATACAAAAGTTCTTTGCTCTCTTTTGCGACAAATCTACAACAATGGCGATGATGACAACAACAGCTGCAGCAGCTACCGTTACACTGACCCCAAAAAGAAAATAAAATATGTCTAACAAATTAGGCAACTTTATCAACTCGACAACAACACACACACGAATTTTTTTAGGCTGATATATTTTATATTTTTTTGCTAAACTCTCTTTTAATTTTATTCCGCATTATTGCGGACTAACTTACCAACTGGAAACGATAGAAATACATTTCATTATATTCCCAATTTTTTTTATTTTATATTTTATCTCTTCTTCTTCTCCGTTTTTATTTAACTTCGAGACACATACTTACTGACTGACTTGAATTCTCTGTGATTGGATTTTTTTTTAGATTTTATTTGGTTTTAATTAGAACGTGAAATGTTTACGGCCTTGCTAGAGTTCAAATACCCCAAAACACAGCTTTTGCCTTAGTCTGTGTGTGTGTGTGTGTGTGTGCGTTGGATGTGTATTTGTTTGAGTTGTTGGGGTTCCATCCATTTCACTCTCATTGTGTGTGTGTGTGTGTGTGTGTGTGTGCTTCTTGCGTTCTTTTTTTTTTGCATACATTTTTAATACCCAACTGCAAATAAAAGGAATGCAAAAATTATTCTACCCCACGGGGAGGAGAGTAAATTGAATGATGAAACATCTGCTGTATGCGGCGGGGCTTTATTTTTTATTCATGAAAGCAAAAACAAATGTATTGATTAACTTCTAGGGAATTTTGACCTATGAAGAAGTTTTTGTTTTCTGTTTTATAAATATATATTTTTATGGAAATTGTGTCATTGACCGTTTGGAATTAATGTGTTTTTAGGATAACTGGAATTCTCAAGGTTCATAGCTGGTGGGTAGTTATAAGAAACCTGAATGATTCACATGATTAAATGTTTTACTTTTTATCAAATTCAAATAGAAAAAATCAATTAAACAGCTTTTTAAAATTGTAAATAAAATTGATTAGGGATTTATATTGATTAGGGATTTATAGGTCGACTTTTGACTAATACAATATTATGGCAATTTTAGTTCCAAGTTCCTTTTGGGTTTAGGGGTCTAACTAAAATGGTGACACTACGTTGAAAAACATCAACCCTCTGACCATATTCATGCATTCTTTAGGGCTTGAATATGAATAACAATATTTGTATATATTTTCTACTTAATATAAATATATTATTGTTAATATGAATATTAATGTTATAACTACAGGGTGAGATAAAAAAACTGCAACAAAGTCAGACGCCATATTTTTACATTTTTTTTAAATTTAATTGAATGAAAACAAAAAATTTCGGAAATAGCATCAAATTTTAGAATAAGTTTAGATTTGTTCGAATTGGTCACCTTTGGCACGAATTATGGCCTTCAAACGGCCAATGAAACTGTCACACTTTGCCCGAATGTTGCTCTGCGGTATTTTGGTCCATTCCCGGCGAAGCGCTTGCTTGAGGTGATCGACACTTTGGTATTTTTTAGTCCCAACCTTGCTTTACAAAATACTCCAGACTCAACAGTTGGTGGCCATTATGCGCTGGAAATGAAGCGAGGAACCACATTTTGTAACCATTCTTGGGTGGCGTACTCAGACGATGGTGCTGAGTCCTATTCGAATGTCCAATGTCTGCGGCCAAAATGTTTGCGTGCCCAAGGCTTTAATACACCCTCCAGAATATTTTCGCGATAATATTCGACATTTATTCTGATGCCACGGTCGATTAATACGAGCGGAGTGCGACCATTAGCTGTTTTGGCGGTCCACAGCATCACCATGGCCGGCGCTTGAGTTCTGGTGGCCAACTAAAGGTGCCCATTTTCAGCTGACTGACCTATTTGGCAAGTAAACACGATCATTTTGTTTGTTTACAACGAATGTATCCTCCTCGGATAATACCAAATTCGGCAGTTCACCACTTTCGGCCAAGCGAAGCAACTCTTTAGCTCTTTTGAGTCTATTTTCTTTCTGTTGTGGTGTAAGTTCTTGCACATTCTGAAATTTCAATGGCTTTACCCCGAGCTCATTTTTCAATATTTGCCGAATGGAATATTGCGACATGTTCAGCTCAAGAGCCATTCTTCGGCCACTGCGACGCGGGTTTCGATCAAGTCGCTTCTTTACTTTTCGAAACATTTCTGCTGATGTTGCTGTTTTCTTCCGTCCACATCCTTCACGTCGGACTAAGCTACAAGTATCACTTTTTGACTTTCTTTACTGGTTGGAATTGACGTAATTTTCAAGCAAACAACATTGTTCGAGTACCAATTGGAACATGCCATTTATCACTTCTTAATTACGGGATCTATAGATCGATTATTGCACTAAGACAGTTGCATGGTAGAAGAATATAACTTGACACGTCGACACTTGTCAAATCAATTTTGAAATTGAATTTTGAATGAAAAAATATTCAAATTATTTAAAAATATTGAAAAATGCACATCATATAACAACCATAGATTGATGTCGTATAAAAACATAAAAAAAAAACATTTTAAAAATTTTGACTAATCAATGTTCCCAAGCGTTGATGCATTTACCTGTATTATTCTACCATGGACAGTTCAGGCAAAATTATCAGAATTTTTATTCATTTAAGCTCTTATCAGACTATTAGGGGTTTTTATTTTCGTGCGTATACCAAAATTGTCATTTTACATATGACTCATAATTCTTGCTATCACACACTCTTGCATATATATTTTTATTTCCTTGGGTTGATTGTATTGTATTTTCTAAAAAAAATATAATATTTTATTGATGGGTTTTTATCACAAATTAATTTTACAACAAATAAACAAAACATTTGATGAAAATATATTTTTCGATCGAAAAATCGAAAAATTACATATGTACTTTACTCATATATGTCACATGTGAAATCTCCTCCATGTATCACACCATGTGTCCAACTTTTACATATCAAAAATTTGACACTACATACGTATAACCCTTTTCGTCTGATAGCAGCTTTAGGTTAGGAGAACAACTCTTTGGTCATGGTAGAAGAATACAGGTAGATGCTCCAGCAACATTAATAAACCACAAATAATAAAATGTTTCTACAAAAATAAAATTAAAATTTTAAATTTTTTAAATAAATTTTTGAATCAAAATTTTGAATTTCAAAAATTTTTTGGAAATTAAGTGCACCACCAGCTGTATTATTGTATCATGTCTCTGGTTTAAATCCATAACCGAGTATTATAATTTCTTAATAAAAAATGAAGATTTTTCTCTTGTGCAAAATGTATTAATTTATTTATTATTTTATTAATTTGTTCTTCACACATCGATGTTGTATATCTCACTTTATGAAATTATATTTTGGTTTTCTTTTTACAAACAAAAAAAAAAACGCAAAATACTGTTCATTAAATGGCTTGTGGTGGTAAATTGCCGCAACACATTTTAGTTGGCTCCCGTTTCCCGCCTTCTCACTCTCTCTCCATCTCCATGACTCTCAAAACAAATATTTTTCGCTACTGTTTCGTTGCCGTTTCTTCTTTGTTATTTATGTACGTACACATATATGTATGTATCCATGTGATGAACTTTTTTTTTTATTGATGGAATAAAAGTTTGTCTGTAGGTAGGTGTGCGAGTGTGTGCATACGTGTGTTTGAATGTTGCCACTACGTTGCTGTCCTTTTTGCTGTGCAAATTTATAGACTTGTGTAAAAACCGTTTTGTTTTTGTATCATTTTATATTTGTTGTTGTTTTCTTGTGCTGCTGCTGCCTTTGCTGTTTTGTTTTCCGAAATTTGTTTTTCAAAAAGGGTAGGTCAGGGTAGCGCTGGGAATTTTTTGTTGATGGTCGGGGCTGGCTGGCTGGCTAGCTGCTGTTTTGTTGGCTGACAGTGTGTCTGGTTGTTTGCTGCTTATTTTTTCGCTTGGTTGGTTAGTTTTCTTTCTTGTTTTTATTGCTACTGCAAACCGCCTCTCCATACTTTTGTTTTCGGGCGGCCTCAGCTGAGTCTGTCTGTCGTCTTCTGCCAAAAATGAACACCCCATTGTCTGCTGCCTGATGGCTTAAATGAATGAATGAATGCCATCGGCGGCGTATTTTGTTGCAAAGTCATTGAACAGATAATTTTATGGGATTTTCTTAAATGATTTATTTACATTCATTTAAATGTGTTAATAAAAAAACAACATTTATTTGGTTCGAGTTCAAAAAACTTGTCATAAAATGGGGTTGTTGTTGTTTTTTTGATGGGGGTTTTTCATGAATGTGTTTGCATACATTACGGCAACGAGTCGCCGCTTGGTGTGAGAACTTCCTTCCTTATGGTGAACATTTTAAACGCATTCTTTGTGCTTAATTGCAAATTAAAGTTAATATTTAGAAAGGAAGTGTGGAAGGCAATAAAAGATTAAATATTTTGTTTTTGGGATGTTGATTGAAGTGTTGAATGTTCAGAAAATATGAGGAATAATTCAATTGTGATCGTTTTAGCAAGAAAAAACAATAAATTGTATTAGGGGTTCTATAGTCTGATGTATGACACATCTATGCACCTATCAAGGTGTTTGTAGATCGACTTTTTCACCAGTGAATATCTGAGTAATATCAATTGGTAATTTTCTTCCCGCCTGTTTTCCTTTTCAAAAAACGCAGTTTTTGTTGGTAAATGTTAATGGAAGATATTTATTAAATATCATTTGTTATTAATTAGGGATTTATAGATCGTAAAAATGCATTAATTGTTATAAATCCAGCATATTCATGAAATGGTTAAAGTCTACGCATAGCAACAGTGATGTCAATTTTAATTTAGACTTTATTCCTACAATTACAAGTTTTCTAACGTATTCTCTCTTTCTTTTACAGAATCCAGCAAGCTATATTTACACTCAAATAGTTGGCAAATAAATTATGGATCCAAGTCGACATCGCGAATATATAGCCAGCAATGAAGAACGATCAAGACTTCATACATCGGCAGCATACTATAGCCGAGATATACCCGACGTAGCGGCACATCGTTATTATGGATCATCTACTGCAGCTGTACAACCAACAACACATCCTCCACCTCCGCCACCGGGGGGACCGGCAAGAAGTCATAGTAACACAAGAATATCCTGCGATTGTACAACAACACCAAGTGGCGCCCGTATTACCTGTAACAACTGTCGTCTTAATCCAAATGGCGATATGTGGCCAAGTGCATCGTCGTCGTCATCGTCATCATCCAACTCAGGTCCTGCCGCCAATGAATATCACATGCATAGAGAATATCGCCAAATGACCACAAGTGAGGCCACAATGCGTACGGGCATGCGACAAAGTTCCATGTATATGCATCAGCAGCAACAACAACCACCACCTGCCCCACCTCCTGCATCTAATCCGGCGGCCCAACATATGCCGGCTGGTTTAATGCAACATCCTGGTGGGCATCCTCCGCCATCGCCCACTTCTTCACAAAGCATAATGCAAACCCACACAATTAGTCGAACCAATTATTGGCCTCAGAATCCGTCTTCAACCTCGCAACACTACGGTGAAGAACATATACATGGACCGGGACCAGGACCCGGTCACCACCCCCATGCCCATCATCAGCAGCAGCAGCAACATGCCGCTGTTGTGCCGCCTCCCCACCAAGCCACCACAACTCAAACACAAATTGACAGTAGCATAACAAGGCGCCCAGCTGCAAATGCGCTTGGCCCCAATGGTGCACCCCTGGATGCTGGCAACATGTATGGCCAATATAAGTCGGTATCACATCCATCACACTCAGGTAGTTCCTATCCAGCCCAGCAGCCAGCACCACCACAGCCATCTTCCACGAATCCGGTACATCATCAACAACAACAACATCAACCACAGCAAAGGGTCAGTGCAATAGGAGGAGGATCTTCAGGTCAAACACCTCCCATGATTGGTGCTAGTAATTCTCATTATATTACCAAGGAACAACGTGTCTATCAAACGAAATACTCCTCGACAACAACCACAACAAAAATAGCCTACAATGCCACGGCAACATCGACGGCCGTCTACGACAGCCACCATCCCCATCCCCAACATGTGGGCAGTGCCAATAAAACCTCTTCCGCCTCCCTACCCATCGATCATCATGTCATCAATCCCAGCAATTTGCCCAACTCCAAGGAACAACATCCCAGCCCGAATTATGCTCGCAAATGTCCTCAAATGTACACCCCCGAAACGGCGGCAGAACAGAGTACCGTCCATCAGCATCATCACCATCATCACAACCTGTATATGACCACACCGCAATTTAGTTCCGATAAATTCTCAAGGGCATCGCCTCAACAGTTGCCAACGTCGGACTACACAAAGCTGCGGGAGAGTCCAAGTGGGGCAGGGGGTGCCAGTCCCTATATGGTATCGTCTGGTGACAATAAATACAGCCACATACCACCGTCCCCATCATCGTCACACCTGCGCGAATCGCCACAGTTTGTCAGCTCCCCCCAAGCGCCGCCTCGTAATGCCAATGCGTATTATAATAATTCGAATCCTCCCAATCATCATCATCATCAGCATCCTCCTCCACCTGCTGCTGCATCCTCAAAGGTCCACCCACCGGAAATGTCTCCGATAATAATGAAACAATCACCACATCCGCATTATCAGTATTCAAGAAGTCCGCTACAACCGCCGCCATCGGCCGCAGCATTACCACCGTCCGCCTCGCACTCACAATTGCATCAAATGCCTGGCAATAAAATGAGTTCTAACGCCCCGGCGGCTGGAGGTGGACTGGCAGCACCTCCACCGCCGCCAGGAAATCCACCACCCCTCTCATCATCACAGCGCTACCTAATGGATAATGTCAAGCGAGAAGATCTGGAAATTTATGAAAGTTCACCCCAGCATCAGGCTCGAGGTTCCACGGTTGGGGGTGCTGCTGCTGCTGGTAGTGCAGGCATTTATATCAATCCCTACAATACCCCACCACCCACGGGCGGAGATTCGTGCTGCAAAGAGGTTACAGCCTCTTCGCCATACACCATTGTGGGTTCAGCTACACCCAATTATCGTGTGGAATCTCCTCAATTCTATGGCACAAAATATGGGAAAATGTCCACAACGACTGGGTCGGAGAAACATGCAGCCCTACTGCAGCAGAATACCCCACCGCCCAGCCGGGCCCCCAGTCAAAGAGGTGGACATCCGGGGGGACAACCAGCCGCTTATTATTATGATGGTAATCCACATAGTGCTCCCTCGCCTGCAGCAGCAACGGCAGCTTCACCTAGTCCCTCGTCCGCGCTTCTGGCCTCCTCCACCACAACATCGCAAACGCATATTCATCACACCGAATATGTGACGACAACAATACAGGGCCCAGCAGGTCATGCCATGCCTCCGCAATCCTCCTATCCACCCAGCCAGCCCATGGGCCAACATCATCAGGCTGCCGGCTTGAGAAATACTGAAATGTTACCTTACGAACGCGCCATGCCGCCGCTTCAAAATCATGCCCAACCTCCAGCGGGCATGAAACATGGCGGCCACACCTCTACAATGGTGCCAGTCCAACAAAATGTCTCCTCCGTACCTTCTTCACAACATCATAATGCTTCCAAAATACCTGTTAATCCGGTGGGTGGCGGCAGTAGTAAAAATAAGCCAAACTACCGCGAGCTAATCACCCGGCAATTGGCCATGCGAAATGCCACCTCAGAGGAGGAATTAAATTTGCAGATCATTAAAAAGACTTTAAATGTGGATTCTCAAAATATCAGGGTGCCACCGGGGGGACCCGCGGGAAATGTGGCGCAATCCAATTTGGCACCCAATGCCAGAGGAGTTATTGGTGGGCCTGCTGCTTTACATCAGCCACCGGCAATTGTTGGTGGGCCTCCAGCTGGAGTGCCTCTACTTCAACCTCAACCCTCTAATCTTCCGCTGCAGAATTCCAAGCTGGCTAGTCATCATACGACGACGGCGGCAGCGGCGGTGCCACGGCCAGCAGAACCTTCTCGAATTTTCATTAAACAAGAGGATGACAAGCCCTCCTCCTCGTCGTCGTCGGCGGCGCCGTCTTCCGGTCCAACAACCACCACTTCTCCCCTAGATCTCTCAATGCGTACGGTGAAAACCAAGGCCGATTCGACAGAGTACAAATATCAACAGAGACGTTCCACACCCAATTTGTCGAATGTGGCCAGCTCTTCAGTGGGTGGTGGTTATACATTGCCACGTGTCGACTCAACGCCTGTCTTTTCGGTGCATGCCTTTGAACCGGGTGCCCCCACATCTGTGGTAGACATTACCGGCAGTGGTCGCCGGCCAAGCCCCCACAGTTCTAGACACAATTCACTGGAGCGCAGCAGCAGAAATTACACACCTCCCACCCAGCCGAGTCCCCAGAATTCCAGACACAATTCGCTGGAGCGCAGTCGAAATTACACACCACCCAGCCAGCCAAGAGATATTGTCATGACGCCAACACATTCGAACAGTGTATCGCCCATAGGATCGTCGTCGTCCACATATCCCCATCCGGCGGAACGTCATTCCAGTTCGCCCTACACCCCAAGACGTAGTGTGGGGGAAATTAATCCAACAATGACGGCTCCCGGCAGTCCACATATTAAGACTGGCTCCTCCACCTCCACTTTATCTTCCATGTATGATCCGGCAGCTCCATCCTCGTGTATTATAAAGGCTGCACCGAAAACGGAAAGGGATTTACCGCGCCACACAATACCCCAGGCTAGGCCAAGTGTCTTGGAAACCAATCCCTATGCTGCCAGTGTTATAAAAACTGAGCCCACAAAACGAATGCCACTGGAAGGTGGCAGTTTAACTGTGAGCGCTTCTCCCTCTTCATCTGCTTCGTCGAGCACAACACATCACACCTTGGCAGCTGTAGAACGTTTGCCGCCCGATACAAGTATAATGCCTTTGCCACTCAAAAGCAGTTACGGCCTATCATCAAAGCCCTCGGCAATAATGGCACCCAAACAGGATAGTCCCTCTCCCGTGAATACCTCACAAGGTTGTGAAAGAAATCCCAATTTTAGAAAACGACACATACAAGAGTATTCCCATCAAATGTCCGCGTCCGGAGAGCCCATGATTAAACAATCGCGATATTTGGACTCTAACACAAGCCCCGGGGTGGGCCACACGATGGCCTCCAAACCCATTATACCAATGAGGCCTGCAGATATTTCCGTAATTGCGGTAAATGAAAGTAATCAACATGAATTACTGGCGGAACGCAACCTAGGAAGTGGGGGTGTAATCGCCACAGCTGCAAGTATTGCCAAGAATCAGGCCCCCGTCATTGTGAATAATTTCAATCACTGCAATTCTAAGACTCTACCACCTCCCATAGCCACGGCTGACTCATCGGGAGCTGTGGTCTGCAAACAAGAGCCATTGACACCCACTGGAATGGCAGATGCTAGCCTCACACCCAAACTGGAAACGGCGATTGCTCAACAACCACCCAGCCAGCCCAGAATAAGGACAAAAGCTGAGCTAAAGGGTTTCACATTCAATCCACCACCACCGACGGTGGATGTCAAGCCAAGTGAACCACCATCGCCAACTGCTCCTGTTGCTGCAGCAGCAGCAGCAGAGGTGGTGGTAAACATAAAACAAGAATCCCCTCCTCCAGAGGTAACACCAACATCAACGCCTGTCAAAATTAAAGTAGAAGAACCAGAATCCACTGTCATGGAGGAAATCGAAGCCATACCCGGCTTGGAAGATGACTTTTCGGGAAAGAACCTTTTGGATTTTGGTTGGAGTAATACCTGTAACAATTTTGTGGAACAGCTAATAACCCGGCCGGCCAAGAAATCCATAATGCCGGGATTAGTGAATAAGGCCATCACCACTCCAGCGGCAGTTCCCAAGGAGAGTTGTGTCGACAATGCGGCAACCGCTTCCAATGATGCCGGCAAAGCTAAGCTTAATAACTATTCCAACATTGAATCTGCGGCAGATACCACGACAACACGTAGCTCATTTCCCCATTTTGATGGTGGCATAGATTCTGGCATGAAATCCTCCTCCGTAAATCAAGATCCTCTGAATTCTCCCTCCTCCTCGACGGCTGGAATGATGCACAAGAAGTTGAATAAATTGGGAAGAGAAAAGAAACGCTATCAACAGGAGAAACGTTTGGCAGAACGCCTGCAAAGCAACAAGGATAGCTCGTCGGAGACAGAAGATGAATTGGACAAGCGCAAGACGGAACGCCTGAAGAAGCCGCTAATGAAGGCTAAAAATAAACTGAAATCCAAAACCAATAGCAATGCCAGCAACAACGACAACAATTCCTCTTCGACGCAAGTCAATGATAAAAATCAATTTTCGGATTGTGGTTCAGATTCTTCGTCCAGCGAGGAGTCGGAGGAAAAGGAAAAGAGCAAAATGCCTCCAACCACAGTGGCGGCCAAGAAGGAGATCTCAATGAAAGTAAATAACGTTCAGGATATCAAGGGTTGTGAGAAAAAGTCTATCAAAGAGGAGGAGGATGACAAGCAGCAGAATAAGGACTTGGCAAAATCTAAAACAACGGAAAAACAAGAGAAGGGCAGTAAAAAGGATATTAAAGTGGAGAAGGAAGACAAAACCAAGGATAACAAAAAGTCTCCAGGAAAATCCACCGAAAGCGAAACAAAAAAGCCAGCCGATTCAGGCTCACCTTCTTCCTCCTCCTCCTCCTCTGCCGCCGCGTCATCAGCATCATCATCCTCCAGTTCAAGTGAAAGTGACAATGCCAAGGACAAGGAAACAAAAGAGAAAACCAAGACCACCACGAACGCCTCCTCAAATAAAAAATCCAACGAAATTTCCTCCAAAACAATTGGGAAATTTAAGATAAGCCTCAATACCATGACCCGTTCCAAACGCAAAAAAGAAATGGAAGCCCAAATGGCCAATAGCAAAGTTCTGCGCAATGACAAGATCATTCGAAACTCCACCTCGAAGATCAAACGGAAATATGTGCGGAAATATGTCAACAATGTCAATAGCTATCAAGAATCGGGCGGCTTGACCCGGGAATCGGGAGTCATTAAGTCGGCTCGCCTCAAGGCCAAATTGGAGAGGAAAGTATTGGCGCTAAATCATCTCAAGGGCAAAGATAAGGGAAAGGTCAACAACAACAACAACAACAACAACAAGTTAAAGGCCTCGACGACGGCAACACCTAAGGAAGTGCAAAATGCGCAGACAGTAACACCACCTACCAAGGGTGCCAAAACGGAAAATCTCCATGATCCAAATGTTCTTGAGCTATATCGCTTCAAACGTGCCCTTAAGGTGCCACCCAGTCTTATAAGTATTAAACATCCGGCAGCCCACAAAATTGCAGCCTCTCTGCCGGATTTGGAGCGGCATGCCTCGGCCTTGGATGCCTATGCCAAGAAAAAGAAAAAGATTAATTTGAAATCCCACAAAAACGATAAAAACGGCAGCGGTAAATCCAAGACGACAAATGAAAAGGAAGGTCCGGCAAGTGGTGGCCAACAAAAGGATGATGAACCCAGATCTATCATTGATTTGCTACATTCCCGGGTCACCAAGGCGTCGGGACTTAATGTCAGCAATAAATCCACTACTACCACAGCCTCAAAAACCGCCGCCAGCGCAGCAGCCAATTCCACTACACCCAAAACCAGCAGCACCACCTCGACCAGCCTGTCCTGTGTGATTGGTAAAAACTATGCCAACAGTTCGAACAACTGCGGTATGTTCAGTGAAACCTCGCAGACCACCGAGTCGAGTGAACTGCAAATGTTACCACCTATAAAGCCCTCGTCCGATGAAGATGACGATGATGACAATGAATCGGCCACCAGTGGCAAAAAACGACACTTTAGCATCTTCGAGACCACAGTGCTGCCTACGAAAACTCGTACCGAATCGAAAATGCAACAGAAACGAGAGAATATACGTGAAATATTTGTGGGTGATGATCGGCCGGCTTCGGCACCACCTGAAATGACACAGGCCCCCGATAATGGAGGCAGTGGTGGTGGTGGGGGAATTGAAAAAATGACCTACGAACAGACCTATGAACAATTTCTACAACAAATGAATATTGTTATTAGCTCGGACAAAACCGGACGATTTAGTCGAACAGCTGGTGCCCGAAAGCTGTTACTCCCCACCACCACGAACTCACAAAATGCGAACAGCAACAACTCGACCTCATTGAATATCAAACAGGAGGAAGTGGATACCGAAAGTACAAGTGTCATGGATCCCGATGAACTGAAAGATGATCAAAAATCCGAAACCACCCATACCATAAGGAAGAAACGTGGCAAATACCTTCGGCGTAAAGGCAGCTCAGGTTTCGATTATATACGGAAAAAGAAGAAACCCTCTTCCAGTTCCGTTTCCAATGCCATGCACAATCACAATAGCTCTCACAACTCAGCGTATCACAATTTTTCGATAAAAAACGAAAAAATGGAAGCCGACGAATATGAGAACAAGGTGAAGACCGAAGACGATGTTAGTCGGGAAATCCAGAAATGGGTACTCAACAAGGGTGTGGGTCAGAGTACAATGCATAAGGCAGCCCGTCAGGGTTACATCGATGTGGTGGTGTATTGTTTGGAACGCATGAACATGAATCCGGATCAGAAGGATAATGCCGGCTATACGCCGCTGCATGAGGCCTGTACCAATGGGTGGTTGGACATTGCAAGGGTATTGCTACAATATGGTGCTAATCATTCGGCAGCGGCTCATTCGGGTATACGACCGTTGCATGAGGCTAGTGAAAATGATCATGAGGAGATTGTTCGTTTGTTATTGGCCTATGGTGCTGATCCTCTATTGGCTACATATTCAGGTGAGTTTGGGGTGGGGGCAGGGGGAATATGGGTTCATTATTAGTGACTGTTTTTTTTTTTTTTCTGAAATGATATTTGTATGGCCTTTTGAGGATTTTTAGGTTTTTTTTTTAATTTTTAATTTTTAAGTCTTTGAGGATTTTTATCTCTTTGAGGATTTTCACATCCTTTGAGGATATACATGGGAGCTATATTCCAATCCGAACCGATCTCGACAAATTCTGAGATGGGAACTCTGGAAAATTACATAAAAAAAATTATGTTTGCAAGTTTATATAAATTGCACTTGTGTGAACCCCCCTAAATCACATATACCAATCACATATCACATATACCATCAGCAAACCTGTTTTATTATACCCTCCACCATAGTATGGAGGGTATATTAAATTTGTCATTCCGGTTGAAACACCACAAAATACACACTTTAGACCCCACAAAGTATATATATTCTTGATCAGCATAAAATTCTATGTCGATTTAGCGATGTCCGTCCGTCTGTTGAAATCACTCTAGTTTCCGAACGAATTGAAGTAGATTGATAAAATTTTGCTCAAATGTATGTTATGTCTGCAGGACTTTTGGTCTTGAAAATGGGCAATGTAGATCCACGTTTTGGTATAGCCCCCATATAACTGTACCTTCCGATATTCGGTATTTTGATGATTTTAGCGACATTTTTCACAGGAATAGTTTCAAATTTGGTATTTGAAGTTCGTAATGGATACTACAGCCTAAGACAGAAAATTGCCTGTGCAGGTTTACGTCTTCGTAGAGCCCCCATATAACGGTACCTCCCGATATTCGGTATTTTGATGATTTTAGCGAATTTATTCACCGGAATTGTTTCAAATTTGGTATTTAAAGTTCGAAATGGATACTACAACCTACGACAGAAAATTGTCTGCGCAGGTCCACGTCTTCGTATAGCCCCCACATAACTGTACCTCCCAATATTCGGTATTTTGACGAATTTAGCGAATTTATTCACCGGAATTTTTTCAAATTTGGTATTTGAAGTTCATAATGGATACTACAGACAATTGTCTGTGCAGGTCTACCTCCTCGTAAAGCCCCCATATAACGGTACCTCCCGATATTCGGTATATTAATGATTTTAGGGACATTTTTCACCAGAATTATTTCAAATTTGATATTTGAAGTTCGTAATGGATACTACAGTCTACGACAGAAAATTGTCTGTGCAGGTCTACCTCTTCGTAAAGCCCCCATATAACGGTACCTCCCGATATTCGGTATTTTGATGATTTTAGGAACATTTTTCACCAGAATTATTTCAAATTGGATTTATGCGAATATAAACTCTATTCCAGATTCTGCAAAAAGGGACTATTTTTGCCACATTTTAGAATTTCTTACACGAAACGCATTGCAAAAACGGCATTCTCAATTGCTAAATCGAAATAAATATTGACATTCTGTCTCATATTGAAAATCCGGAACGCTGTCCTCAACACAACTGCTACATTGTTGTACGTTGATGTCTAATATTTTGACACGTCAATGTTTTTCATTATCCACATCGCATATACTGTGACTTACCATTTGTATTTTTATTTATTTGGCATTACGATTCAATTTTTTGAAACTTCATTCGTTTATATCGTCTAGGAGTACTAGTTTCTTTCCTTTTGACCAAGCAGTTGCATTTTTTCATTATGTGAACCCACCTTGTACAGTATTGCCAATCATACGATTGCTTTTTGCAACCCTGCTTTACAATGATTAAGGTGGCCTGGTAACACATCAAATTCACTCGAAATTTGCATTTTTGGTTTGTTTAGCAAGGAATTTAGTGATTTTTCTGTTCGTTTAATGTAAACTACATAAAAATATGTATTTTACGCTATTGTTTATGTTTATAAATAAAAATCGACTTTACATTTTTCTTTTTGTTTACAGGTCAAACTCCCTTAATGTTAGCTTCAAGCACAACAATGCGTGATATTTTAAATAATCATTTAATAGATGTACAAAGTATGGGACCTGAACGCAAGCCATGGAAATTCAATGGGCCATGGGAGATATACGGTAAAATGTCACTTTTATTATTTTCACCATTTGAATGTTAATTTTATTATTTTTATTTATCTGTAGATCCTTCAGAATGCGGTTATAATGTGTTTGAGGGTGCACCAAATCCATTGTGTGATACGAGCCGAGCTCCATTTTTACGTAAAGGTTCTTCTTCTTCTACTTCGTTAGCAACAAATAATCAAATGATGCAAAACAAAAAACAAATTGTGCTCAACAACACAGCAGCAACAACAGCGAATAAAAATAGCACATTGGATGCAGCTACCACTAATAGCAACAATTCCCAACAAGTTGTTGTACAAAATGGTCCTACTAAAAGTGAAAACAACAACAGTACAAGTACTGTCAATAGTTGTAGTGGCAGTGGTAGCAGTACCAGCAATAATACTGAAGCTTTAAAAGCAACTGGTGGTGGTGGTATCAGTGAGGCATCACATCATCATAAAGGGGAGACAACAACAAAGACTGTTATGGATAAATGTGCAGTAGTACTTGATAAATAGATCATTTCAATACGGTTCAAATGAAATCTGCCGTTGGCGGCAGTAGCAGCAGCAGCGGCAGCAACAACAACACTAAATCGGAGATATTAGTTGAAAACTCGGATAGTGATGGTGAAATGTTTGAGTTTGAGGAAGCGGACATTTTACTGCCACCCCTGTATCTACTCAAGGACGAGGGCACCACTGATAAATGGGTGCTCTTGAGTGATTTGTGCAATTTACTTAAAGTGAAATCAAAGGATACTTTATTGAATAAGGTAAGTGGTGAGAGAAAGGGTAGGGAATTTGACATTGGGGTTGTATTCAGATAGATTTGAAAAGATAAACAAATAGTAAACAACACGTCAAAAAAAGTTGCCGTTTCGTCTGGTCTGGTATAACACCTTAAGGCTCTATCAGACGAAATGTGTTTTTACATATGTAATGTCAAATTTTCTATTAGAGAAGTTGAACATATCGTGTGATACATGGGCGACATTTAATGTACATACGTACTTTTTCGATCACAGCGAGCCATATTTTCATCGAAAAAATGTAATTTAGTTAAAAATGTTGTTTATTTGTTGTGTAAAAATAAATAAAATTAAAGTTGCTGTAAAAGTTCATGCATAAAGTATTATAATGTTTATAAAATATAATATAATCAAATAAAAAGACATATACAAGCATGTGGTACCAAAAATTATGAACCATATATAAAAAGTGGCAAAACATATGTAAAACACATACCGTCTGATAAAGCCTTTATTATTGTTTGTTTGGCCACATATCGAATTGATACGTCCATATGCTCAACCGATAAAAAGTTATCGGTAATTTCTTTTGACATAAGCGGTGTACACACCATCAAACTATTGACTTACAGTAAGCCTGCTTGTCACTATTATTTTATAAATGCATAGACTTGTTTCATATTAGAATGCATAAATCCTAGAGCTATAGATGTCGGGCCACATTTGAAATTATTCTTCAATGTATGTTACCGACAAAACGTATCGACACTTTAATTGTAATTAACAACGAAATTATATTTTTTCCCATCTTTTGATCTTAAAATTTTAATTTTTTTAATTAAATAGTTTTTATCGATAATAGTTATCGGTAAATACTTTACCGATTACTTTGGTGTACCCATCTTCAAACTATTAAATTATAGTCAGACTCCTTGTTATATATGAACAGATTTCTTCACTTTCATGGTTAGAATGCATAAGCCCTTTAAATATAGTTGTCTGGCCACATATCAAATTATTCATGTTACATACTTTGGTGTGTTACCGATAAAAACTTATGGGCACTTAATTTTGAATAAATTGAGAAAATCACAACGAAATATTTTTTTAAAATTTTTTGCTTTTAAAATTTAAATTAATTTAAATTAAATATATTTCTCTCAAAAATGTGAACTACACTGGGATCGGTAGTATTAACAATATATATATATTTATACCCCACAAGGTGGTCTGGGTATTATGTCTTTGTGCAATTTGTTTGTAACACGCAAAAGAAAACGAGATAGACCCATAGTTCCTTTTGATGATCTGCATAGAATCACATTCTGAGCCGATTTATGGATGTCCGTCTGCCCATGTAGTTTTGTAAACAAAGTAAAGTTCGCATTTATTATCCGATTGAGATGTACAATATTTATTTGAGAATTGGTTCAAATTTAAATATAGCTCCCAAGTACCAAATTTGAAACAATTCCGGTGAATAATGTCGCTAAAATCATCAAAATACCGAATATCGGGAGGTACCGTTATATGGAGGCTATACGAAAACGTAGATGAGCACAGACAATTTTCTCTCATAGGCTGAAGCATTCATTTCCAACTTCAAGTACCAAATTTGAAACAATTCCGGTGAATAATGTCGCTAAAATCATCAAAATACCGAATATCGGCAGGTACCGTTATATGGGGGCTATGCCAAAGCGTGGACCTACATGGGCCATTTTCAGTACCAGAAGACCTGCAAATATAATATACTTTTGATAAAATTTTATTAATCTACTACATTTCGTTCGGAAGCTAGAGTGATTTCCACAGACGGATAGGCGGACATCGTTAAATCGACATAGTATTTTATGCTGACCAAGAATATATATACTTTGTGGGGTCTAAAATGCATATTTCGAGGTGTTACAAATCGGATGACAATCTTAATATACCCTCCATACTATGGTGGAGGGTATAACAAGTATGTGAAATTTGGTGAAAATTGGTTCAGATATAGCTATTGCTCCCATATATATTGTTCATCCAATTTGTTATATTTTTCTTATAAATATGAAAGGGGTGTAGGATATCCTAAAGTCGGCCTCACCCGACTTTCAGACTTTCTTTACTGTTTTTTTTAATTTGGTGTCTGGCCAGACAACTTTACAAAATAACTGCTATACATGAATCGTATAAACATTATATTACAATGCAGTCATATGATATGGCCAGAATCGATATCGATATATCGATAAATAATAAATAGCCTTTTAACTAAATTGGGGTACCCACTATTAACATTTTTTAAACATTTTCTTAACGGTTTATTCTCCACTCACAAGTTTGATTGTTTCTTTGTTTTTTTTTTTTTTTTTAATTAATCTATATTTACCATTTTTTATGTTTCTCTACTTTTACAGATCTATCCACAATCTTCTTCCGCGGCATCCGCCCACAAAAGTCTTATGCGTGAATTGAAAATGTCGGATTTCCTGGAGAAGGCGACATGTTTACAACTTTTGTGCGCCGGTGAAAAACTGAATATCTGCGCATCAAAGGTTGTGCTAATCAAATACAACGAGAATGTTAGAAACTTATTAGGGGTCAAAACAATATTAATGAAATTTTAGAAATTAAAGACACACAAAAAACAACAACACATATAGATTTACAAGAATGCTGTAACGAAGAAAAAATAAAAAGAATCAAGTAATTAAATAAAAAAAGCAACAACATTTATGTAAAACAAACAACAACAACAAAAATATTCAAAATATTTTAGTTTGTAAGCTTTAATTGACAACAAGAATGAATGAAAAGAACAAGCAACAACAACAAATTGTGTGAAATAGAGTAACGAAAAATTAATGGAAAAACAAAAATTAAAATAATTATAAATTCATATACATCTAGCATATAAATACATACATTATAATAATAATAATATACATATATTTATACTAAATATACAGTATACATATATAAGAAATGAAGGATGGATTAAGCATAAAATATAGTTTTTAATTTTTATTGTAGCAAAAAGTGAAAAAAAAATTAACATCAAGAATTAATAAAAAATATATATAATGAAATTACTGTATTATTGTGTGTTAAAATACATTAAAACAAATCAACACACGCTAAACAATAACAACAATAACAAACAATGTGCATATATTATTTTAACGTGTTCTTTTTTTTTACAAAATATATACAAAACAAAAAAACATACTCTACACTGTAAGCGTAAAATTTAGTTTATTATCGTTGTATTTTTATAATTTAAAGAAAAATAATATTTAAATGTATTTTTTTTTTTAAAAAACCTACTGTAGTTCACATATGCTAATTTGTTTTAAAAATCAAAACTCGTATTAAGGTACTAAAAAGAGAGCATCGAAACAAAATAAAAAACAACATTTAAGTTTCTATTTTAGGTTTCAATTCTATTTTCTGAGAACAAAAACGTAATCAAACACAATGTTTTCCAATATTGGCCTTTAAATTGGCCAAATGTTTTCGTTTTATTTTTAACTGTATTTTTTTCAATTTGTTGTATTTGTATAGCAATAAAACTATAGCATGATTTCAGTTTAGCATATATTTATACAATACACATATATTTTCGAAAGGCAATATCTAAAGAACTTTTAAAAGTTCGCTTTAGCATTAATTTTTATATAACTACATAATTTTATTACCATAATTTTTAATATTTTTATTTGATAATATTATTTTAAAATCTTATTTATATTTTAAAGAAAAATTATTTGTTGTTAAATATTTAAAACAAAAATCAAATGAAATGAAGAAAATGAAAATAGATATTGAAATAACAACATAGTTAATTGTCTTTTATTTCGTTTTTTTTTTTATTTTCCCGCTTCCAAAGGGGCGATTTTGTTGAGCTTAACTTATTTAATTGTCCCAAAGTCACATTTAGAGGGTGAGATAAAAAAAATTTGCAACAAAGTCAATGTCATAATTTTTAAATTTTTTTTTTTTATTGAATGAAAGCAAAAAATGTCGGAAATAGCATCAAATTTTTGGAATAAGTTTAGATTTGTTCGAATTGGTCACCTTGGCACGAATAATTGCCTTCAAAAGGCCAATTAAAACCGGCACACGCTGCCCGAATGTTGTTCTGCGGTATTTTGGCCCATTCCCGGCGGAGTGCTTGCTTCAGGTGATCCACACTTTGGTATTTTTTAGTGACAACCTTGCTTTCCTTGCAAAATACTCCAGACACAATAGTCCAACGGATTGGTATCCGGAGATTTTGGTGGCCATTGGGCGCTGGAAATGAAGCGAGGAACCTTATTTTGTAACCATTCTTGGGTGGCGCGTGCTGAGTCCTCTTGGAATGTCCAATGTCTGAGGTCAAAATGTTTACCGCATGTAATATTGCAATATGTTCAGCTCATGACCCATTTTTCGGCCACTGCGACGCGGGTTTCGATCAAGTCGCTTAAATTTTACCTAAATTTAAGAAAAAAGTTCTTTTTTTTTTCTTTTATTTATTTCAACAACACTACTTTTTTATAGACCCAATCATGGCGGAGTCTTATAGTGTCAAATAGACTTTTAAATATGCAATATGGTTTTGTTTATTTTTCAATTTTTTAACAAAATTCTTACATTGGGGAAAATCCGCGAAACAAGAATGGAATTTTAGGACAAGATGGAATCTAAAATAGTAGGACAATACAGTTTTATCACAACATTGTACAATTTGTCACCGATTAAAGTCGAAAATTCGGATTTATTTTGCAACCAAATTTGAAAAAATTAATTTTTTGGATTTTTTTTTAAATTTTTCGAGATTTTTCTCAACAATTTTAGATTTTTTTTAAAGAAAATTAAGATTTTTTTTAAATAAGATTTTTTTTTAATTTAAATTTTTTTTTTCAAAAAATTTAAAAACTTAAAAAAATAGATTTTTCCAAAATTATTTTTTTTAATTTAAATTTTTTTTTTAAAAATTTAAGTTTTTTTTTAAATTTAAGATTTTTAAAAAAGAAAATTAAAAATTAAAAAAAAAATAATTTTTTTTACAAAGTTAAAATTTTTCTCAAAATATTTAAAATTTTTTAAAGAAAAATTAGATTTATTGTATTTTTTTTTTTTTTTTTTTGAGAAATTTTATTAAAATTATAAAAATTGTATAAGTCAATATTCCCAGAATTTTTTAAGTTTTCTTATACGACACCAATCGGGGGTGGTTATGATGTGCATTTTTTCAAATTTTTTTACAAATTTCAATAATTTTTCATTCAACATTTTCAATTGCAAAATTGGTTTGACAGTTCATTTTCCCAGCAGCTGTGTCGCTGCGTCTACCTATATTCTTCTACCATGATACAGCCTATAATTTGTAGACAGTCGGAAATCTAGTGTACAGATCATACATCAAATTAATTAATAAAATTAAAAAAAGAAAAATTATACGTAAAAAATCCCAAGATTTTTATAAGTTTTCCTATACGATACCAATCGAACCCATGCATTTTTCAACAGTTTTTAAAATTTTATTATTTTTTCATTCAAAATTGACATTTCATTGTCCCAGCAGACGTTACAAATTGTAATTGGAAGTCGTCTGCAAAAGAGAGCGGTTGGAGAGAGAAATTTTGACAGTTCTTTCAGTGAGACATTGCAAATTCTTGTTGGACAAATTTCTCCTTGCAATCATTTGCAACTCTTCTTCTTCTCATTCGTCAACATTCAATCAGATGTTTTCTATTGAAAATAGAAAATACTTTTTTAGCATTGGCAAGACTAATTGTTTTTGGAGAACAATATGTGATAAGAAAATAAAAGACTATTTTTAACATTTTTAGAAAAACGCCATTAGCAACACGTTTAAAGGATTCCGGGGAACACATCAAATATATCTTTCTTTTATTGCTCATATTTTTAATTTCCCTTTTATTTATTTATATATAAAATTGTAAAATTGGTGGTGCTTCATTTCTTTTAATGTGGGACAAATTGATTTGTTTTGAAAAATCAGCTGATTAGTTGCCAGCTTCTGTTTACTTTTCGAATTTTCCTTGCAAAAGAGAATAGAACTACCTTACTCTCCCAGAAAGAAGTTGCTGGACAATTCCTGCTGGAAAAGTAACCAGACACACCTAATTTTTAATAATTTTGACAGAAAGTGGGCATTGTCTCTACCTCATTCTTGTATCATGTAAGAAACCAAAATAAGGGCTTCAAGAATATTTTTATATTTTCACATAATAGCCTCAAAGTTTCTTTTCGGATCCATAACGCCGAAGATGTCTTTGACGTCAATGGAAGGAATGTAAGAAATACTATTTTCTTAAAATAATGTTGTGCAACCACATGACCTATACAATGTTGGTGTAAATGGTTTGACCCCAATCATGTTCGAACATTGTTGCACCCAATCAATCTTTGTAGTATTTTTCATAACCTCACTTAATTTACTTTTGCACTTAATTGGATAATTTATAATATAGTTTTGATTTCTTTTTGGTTAACCTAATGAAAATTTGGACTACAGTATTCATTTTTACTTATTTATTTATTTTTTTTAAATTTCCCCATTTTATGAAATTGAAAATCAATTAGGCTAGATATCAAACATAACACCCAAAACAAAATTTAAATAAATTTAAAAGAGAAAGTGTGATAATAAATAAAGGTGCTACTAATAGAAAGAATGAATATGTATGTCATAATAGATAGAAATTCGCAAAGCAAAGTATGAAAACGGTTGAGTTGTATAAACAATGAAATTCAGTGAGTATTAATTAAATAAGAAAAAAAAAATTGAAAAAAACTATTTGAAATAAATTTGTGTTCTTTACAATTAACTTTGCAACTAATAGTTTTATTAAGAATGTCTGACACATTTCCATTGTATAAAAAATGTATATTTTTTTAATATGTTAAAACATTAGTATAAAACAATAAAGTGTGACAAAAATGAATTTGTTTATTTCAGATTAAGAGAAAAACATTAAGTATATGTGTCTAAATGTACTTGAATCGGAGTTTTTAATTGCTAAAAGTAACCTCACAGAGCTACAGACTGATTGGACAAATATGTGGTCAATCACATTTACATGGTAGAAGAATACAGGTAGTCGCATCGACACAGCTGCTAAGACAATAAACTGTCAAACCAATTGTGAATTTGCAAATTTTGAATTAAAAATTATTCAAATTTTTTAAGATTGTTGAAAAATTCATATTATCACAACCTTATATTGGTGTCGCTTAAGAAGACTTATAAAAATATACTTATTTTTGAAAAAATATTTTAAAAATTTTGACATATCAATGTTCCCAAGAGTTGATGCATCTACCTGTATGCTTCTACCATGCGCCTAATCAAGGAAATTAAAATTTCTTCATAATTTTTAATATTTTTTTCTTCTTTTCATTTAATTCCGATTTTTTAGTGATGCCTCCGTTTAATTTTTCATATAATGTGACATTTTTTCTTTATTATCACCTCTTTACTTATTATACTATAAACCACTTCCATTGAATTAAATATGAAGCGTCATTTACATGAATATTATGGTTAAGGGAGGGAATTCCTTTATTTCTCTCTGTTTCTATTCTCATTATGTCAACTTTCTTTTATATTCATTTTCCACAATCTATCTTCAGCTTGAATTAGCTAAAATCACATGGGCTTGCCTGGTGGCCAGGCAGTTGTACTAGTGCACGTTGTGTAATCTCGGCCTGCGGCTTGTTTCTTATGCTACATGGCGTTAAATCAATTCAGTTGTTGTCTGTGTGTTCTGTGTTGATCAAATTAACCATTTTGTATATCTCTGTGTATTTAATGTAATCTATGTATGTTTAATTTTAATTCAACGATACAGCCAAATTGTGAATGATTTTGTCAGACATGCAAAATGTAAAAGAAAAAAAATTATATTAATTTATATCATAAACTACTCATGATAACAAATTATTTTATACAAAATGTATGATATATAAATATATGTATGTTTTTTCAACTTACTTCAAAACACTTTTCACCTTACATAAATAATTTAAAATTGAATGTAATTTAAAAAAAAGAAACAATAGGAAAAATAATTGTATTTTATATATTTAAAAAAACAAAAAAGAATAAGAAAATGCTGAAAATGATATTTTAATTGTGAGTTCTTGATGACAAAAAAAGAAAGAAATAAAACCCATATATAATTATTCAAAATGTAACGAAAACGAAAAGAAGAAGCAACAGCAACAAAAATGCAAATACAATATTGTACATGTCTGTGACCAAGGTTTAAAATTAAGAAAAACAAAATAAATATTAATATATATACAAAATAAGTTTCGACAAAGAAAATTGCAACCAAAAAATACAAATAATAATAATAATAAAGTGAATAAGAAAATTATTATTAAAGAAATAAATAAAAATTATTTTCATAACCAAAAAAAGGAAAATTCTTTTAGTTCTTACTTTTCAAATGGAAACAGAAATGGGAATAGAAAGCTATGGAAATTAGGGCCCAAAGCAAGATCTACATGAGGTCGGCCAAGAAGACTGCTTTTGACAACGATTTGACGATCTTAGAAGAAAACAGGTAGTCGCATCGACACAGCTTCTGTGACAATGAACTGTCAAACTGATTTTGGAATTGAAAATGTTGAATGAAAAATTTTGAAATTTGTTAAAATTGCTATTTTCGACATTTTGCTTTCATTCAAAAAAATTGAAAAAAAAAATGTAAAAATTATGGCGTTTGACTCTGTTGCAGTTTATTTTTTATCTCACCCTGTATTTATAAAAGTATTTCAAAAATTAATAATAAATAAAAGCTATTGAGTCATTTTGGATTGATTTGGATGGATTTTTAATAATTAATACTATCTAAATATTTACATATTTCCTAAACATAAACATTTTCTAATACGGATGTAGTCTTTGTGGCTGTGCCGAATGCATCATTGAGGTCAGCGACTGGGGTCCGCTGGATGATAATGCATGTGGTGGTGGGGCGCCTGTATGTATGGCTTGTGTTGGCGGTGGTGGAGCCATCATATGGGCAGTCATCGCCATACCACCACCAGGATTTGCCTGTAATGATGCTGCAGGATTTAAACCCAAATGATGCATATGCAAACTATCATGATGAGGATGTGGTGGCGGCGGCGGCGGTGGTCCAAGGGAAGTGGCTGCCGCCGCCGTCATATGGTTATGATAGTGATGATGATGGTGTGGTGCCATTGCCACATTAAGCGTTGGGTGAGTTGCGGCTGGTGGTGGTGCTGGTATTGGCGCCAGTGGTGTAGGAACTATCGTCTGATTGTGGCCCACCATTGGTAAGTTCACAACAATTTCTTCATCCTCATCATCGCTACGCTTGTGAGGGTTCGTTGAAATCTGATGTATTTTCCTTTTGTGTGCCTGCATATCACGGTGTCGACTAAATGCCTTGCCACACACATCACAGTGGTGATTTTTTATTCCCGTATGGGTCATCATATGTTTGGATAAATCACCAGCTGTGTAAAAGGATTTCTGACACACCGGACAATGTTGATCCCGTATGCCACTGTGTATCTTAAGATGAGCTTGGAAATTACCCAAGGCAGAGAATTGTTTGGAGCACACCTCACATTGAAATGGTTTATAGCCGGTGTGGGTTCGTTCGTGTATGTGCAAGTTATATTTTTGTACAAAACGCCGGGGGCAATAGGCACAGCCAAATGGTTTCTCTCCGGTATGGGTACGTATGTGGGTCTGTAGTTGGGCGGCACATTTGAAAGTTTTACTACATTCATAGCAGGTGTGTGGCAATTTGGGCAAGGGTTTGGGTCCACGTTTCTTGTGTTCTTCCGGTGGCTTTCGCTGATAACGGGAGCGTCGTTTACTAAAATCAAAAACATTGTTATCATTGAATACATTTAAGAACTCAAAATCACCAAACCTTTTCTTCTTTGGACTTTTCCTTTCATCTTCTTCGTCATCCTCATCGGAATCCGTTGAATTTCCGGTGGTATAGCCATGTGTTTTGCCCGTACTTCCCAAAGACTGCCAATTTCCCTCGGTATTAGTTTCGGCATCACATACTCTGTGAAATTAAATCTTGTTAGAGATATTCCATGCATATTATGTTCTTACTTACCCATATCTGTCCGGCAATCCCAGGTATTGTCTCAGTCGAATATCGGAATTTTCACATTCCTGTTTAAAATGATACGCCACACCAAGGCGATAGATACAATTGTTACATATAACTTCGGGTAAACCATCTTTTTTATAGACCCGTATCTTGGCACACATCATCATCATACTCGACGGCATCATGCTAAATTCGGTGCTGTAAATAGAGGTGCACGGAACACCTTCTTTCAGGCAGATGCGACAAATTTTATGTAAGTTATAATCCATGGCTGCTACTGCAGGATCGGTGGGTGAAATCTCATCTCAAGAAATCTTTCTATGTTTTCCAAAACTTTGTTCTTCGCAGTTGATAATCTCTACTACTCATACCGATTCCCAGATCCAGCATACAACAGACGCATCTAAGAAACAAGGAACAAAGTGAGCATGAGCGATAAAGTCAAAAATCAAAACAAAAACAAAAGGGACTGTGAAGTTCCAAAAAGGGATTAACAACAGCTGATTTACATGGTTGATATGCCTTAAGGATGCTATAGACTTTGTGTTTTATTATATTTACTTGAAGCCATGGCACAATTACAGAAGGTAGAGAAAAGCTACACCCCATGGTAGTAGAATATAAGTAGACGCGTCGACACAGCTGCTGGGACAATAAACTGTCAAACCAATTTGCCAAAATTTGAATTTGTTAAAATTTTTGAAAATCGCGAATTTTAATAGGCCCCGACTGACGTAGTATAAGGAAACATATAAAAATCTACTTATATTTGAAAAAAAAAACATTTAATTTTTTGACATATCAATGCCCCCAAGCGTTGATGCATCTACCTGTATTCTTTATTTATATTTCTTCTTATTCGGAGGTTATTATAATAAGCGTTTTTCAAAATTTTTACAAATTTAAATAATTTTTCATTCAAAATTTTCAATTCTTCTACCCATGGTACAATAAGGAGATAGAACAGCTTCGTAAAACTGCAGAAATACAGCCCTGAGGCTAAGCCCGCTTCCTATCAGTATTATTAAAAATAATAGCCAACAAGTTGTTTTCATTTATTTGATATTTTTTGTTAATTTCTAAAATGAGTCAAATAAAGCGAAAGATGAATGAAATGCCTGGACGTTCTCTCAAAAATATGATCTTAAGTGTTCAATCTTTCAATTCCATGGTAAATCTCGTTAATATTATTAATGTGCGCCCCGCAATTTAAGTTTCTTTCAATCATTGATTTTGAAAATATTTGGTTTTTATTTTTCAAAACAACAAATACATACACAAAATTGGCAGAAGACGGGCACACTGAGGAAAAAATTGTAATCAGATGAGAGCTCTACCTTACCTTTTTATTGTACCCTGCTTCTACCATGAATTTTAAGGAGCATTGATGAAACATCGCATAGACTTAGGACTTTTTTAATTTTTCATTTACGGTTTCTACAAAAATACAAATGAAAAAATTTGACACGACACACGTAGCCATAGTATGGAAATGGTTTTAATAAAAAATCAAACTTATATTATAAATAACATTTTAACAATTAATTGTGTGTAAACATTGTTATTGTACTGAGTAAACATCACTTGAATTGCAAATTGTGAAACCATCGCAGAAGAATACAGGTGCATCAACGGTTGGGAACATTGATATATGACAAATTTATTTTTTTTTTTTCAAATATATGTGGATTTGAATTTGTTTTCTATATTACACAAATCGGACGTGGTTATGAAATGCATTTTTAACCGTTTTTACAATTTTGAATAATTTTTCATTAAAAATTTTCAATTCCAAAATTAGTTTACCTCTTTTGTTGTACCATGCATGAAACATAACTAATAATACGTTTAAAGTGCGTTTACATTTACGAAATCCCCTCGATCTCAGTTTCATAGCGTTTACATCGAATGATCTCCACTGGATTTATAAGATTTACGTGATATTTACGCTATGATACTGAGTGGATTTAGTAGTCAAAACGTGTTCTTACCAGAATAATTTACTCTGTAGATTCTTATTGGCAATTCCATTGCATATACGTCAAATAAATCCACATAAAAAGGTTATTTCAGCGAAAAACTCTAATTTAAACATACTATACGGCCTCATCGTCCAATTTGCCTATATCCATTTAAACTCAGTAAACTTGATGTGAATAATATAATACGGCTCATTCAGTGAACACATTTTGCATAAACCATGTTCGACACTCGTTCATTCGTTCCTTCAATTGCCAACCAGCTGTTTTCTTGGGCGAAAATCGTAATTCGAGACCCCTTAAAATTACACTTTTCGATCTTTTAGAACCCTCAAACAATCGCTGTTTTGCTTTGGTTTTTACCTTTATCTCGCATTTTCACTTTGTTTCTTTTTTTCACTTTTTTCTTACGACATTCTTGTGTGTGAACTGCGGGTTGCATCTCGGTACGTGTTTTTCTTTCAAAAAGTGAAAAAACGAAAAATTAATTACTGGCGAATAAAAACGGCAATAGAAATGGAAATATTAATAAAATTAAATGTCTAAAGGCGTCTACGAACAGAAGTGAGAACAAAATACGGCAGTGAATAGACGGGACAACAAGAAAAATTAATTTTATTTTTACATATAGAGTGAAGTCTCGTAGCGCTGCGCTGCCAACAACAAAAAGAATTGTGTTTTGTGTGAGAAGAGGTTGGTGGTAGCTGCTGTTGTTCGCTCGCCCACAAAAACAAAAGAAGCAAAGATATATTTACATATTAAAATTAGAAGTGTGTGTCTTGTGGTAAGAAAAATATACGAACCAGGAAAATATTGGATATAAATCTTCTTAATTGAAGTGGAAAAAGCAAAACAAAACACCACACAGCAAGCGGATACATTAGTTGTGAAAATATTTGCCCACAAGAAAAGAAAAAAGCCATGAGTAGCGATGGGTCTTCCATACGCTTTAGCGACCACACACTTGACAAGGCCACAAAGGCCAAGGTAACACTGGAAAATTACTACAGTAATTTGGTGACACAATATGGCGAACGCAAACAACGTCTGGCCAAATTGGAGGCTCAACTAAAGGACGAAAGTCTAACAGATTCCCAGCGACAGGAAAAACGTCTGCAGCATGCCCAAAAGGAGACGGAGTTTCTGCGTTTGAAACGTTTGCGTTTGGGCGTCGAAGACTTCGAAGCCCTGAAGGTAATTGGACGTGGGGCCTTCGGAGAGGTGCGTTTGGTCCAGAAAAAAGACACTGGCCATGTGTATGCCATGAAAGTTTTGCGTAAGGCTGATATGTTGGAGAAGGAGCAAGTGGCCCATGTTCGAGCTGAACGTGATGTTCTGGTTGAGGCCGACCATCAGTGGGTCGTTAAAATGTATTATAGTTTCCAGGTAAGTTGTGGTCTAGCTGCGCCTACACATTTGTGGTTAACATTGAGGTTTATTAGCTTCTCGCCAAATTATGATGATGATGATGGGTGAATAACAAAAACTAAATATCTCACATGGATCTCAAGTATCAATCTGTGTAAAGGGGCGTTTCTTTTAAACAAGGTCACTTGGCAATTAACATAAAAATATTTCTTTCTTTCTGTCTGGTTTTGTTTAATTTACATTTAAGTAAAAGAGAAAAAAAACAAAACCCTATCAGAAGTGAATGACTCACAAGAAGATATATCTGGTGGTGCTCTATATGCAACTGCAGTACACCTATTGTTGTATTTGTTGTATATATATGTATTAGGTCAAATATAAACAATAACATCAATTTAAACAAAATGTTCATCCAATCATTTTTATTTTCTTTTGCCTAGCATTTCGAAAAGAAATCTTGAAAGTGCAGAATTCCATAAAAACGATCATCATGTGTATTGGATTTGGCTTTTTGTGGGAGATGTGCTTTCTTCGTTTAATGATAATGTTGTCTCGGATGACGACAGACAGCGGCGCTACTTCTGTTGTTTCTTTTGTTGTCAATGCTGAAGTCAACATTCATAACTACTTGTCTGTCGTTGCCCTGTTATTTTGTTTTTAAAAAATACAAAACAAACAAGCGTGTGTGTGCGTGTCTGTGTTTGCATGTATTTTCGCGCTTTCTTCTGCGTGTATTATGGGTTACATCAAGATAACGTGAATGATTAATAATAAAAAATGTCCATAAATCGATGATTAAATTAGCACCCCCTGCGCTGTGGGGAAAGTTAATAGGAAAAAAACAACAACAACAAAAAAAAAACTAAATTGAAGGGACTGCCATAGGGAGAGTTAACAAAATGCTATTTGAGGGATTTGAGATGATCTTCCAGTTGCTTATTGAATGGACGTATCTAAATTCCCATCTGGCCTATATGGCCCTATATAACTATATCGGCAGATTTGCAATTGTTTAGGTCTTTAAGTCAACATTTTTAATGGAATTTGCTGTAAATTCGGAATATGTGTTACTAGTATGTAGGAAACATTCTGTACATGGTCCAGGTATATAGGCTATTCGGTCTTTTTTATGGGGCTGCCAAAGGCAGAGTTAAAAAAGGCTATTTGAGGGATTTGAAATGATCTTCTAGTTATTTATTGAATGGACGTATCTAAATTCCTATCTGGGCTATATAGGTCCACGTTTTGGTATTGGCCCCATTCCGACAGATTTGAAATTGTTCAACATTTTTAATCGAATTTGCTATAAATTTGGAATGTTACAATAATGTAGGAACCTATATGTACAGGAATATAGGTCCAAGTTAGGTATGGGCCCCATATAACTGTACTGCACAATATTTTTATTTACACAAGGTTTGGCGTGAAGATGAAATATATCGGTCGACTCCTTCTGGTACCTTCCCCACAAAGGGTCCAAATTTTGAATATTCATGAACCTCATAAAACGCAAAAATAACATTCGAATTCATACAGACTTGGTACATCTCAATATTTCTCTCAACGTAAGATCTGTTATAAAGATGGTAAAGATCGGACCATTCCTTCGTGTACCTCCCCCACAATGGGTCAAAATTGTGAATAACCAAAACGATCATAAAATCCGTAATAAGCATCCGGTTCTCTTCAAATTACACACATCACAATATTTTTATTAACTCAAGGTCTGGTGTGAAGATGATATGTATCGGTCCATTTCTTCAAATACCTCCCCCACAAAAGTTTGAAATTTGGAATAACCAAAACGATCATAAAGTTCGAAATAAGCATCCGGTTCTCGCAGATCCCATTATTTTAACCAACACAATGTCTGTTATGAAAATGGTAGAGATCGGACCATTTCTTCTGGTACTTCCCCCACATGGGTTACAAGATTTTGAAAAACAAAAAGCTCAAAGAAAGCAAAATAAGCTTCCAGCACTCTTTAAATCTCATACATACAAACCTTTTTCTAATACAAGATCCGTTGTGAAGATGATATACATCTGCCAACCCCTTCTGGTACCTCACTCACAAATGGTCACAATTTCCAATACTTATATCTATCATAACTTGCGAATCATGTCGGCGATTCTTTACAGTTTGCTATATCTAAATATTTCTCTTAACCAGAAATCTGATATGAATATCTAATTTATCGGAATTTATGATTTCGCATAAAATTGGATACGAATGTTCCATGTACTTCAAATTTTGCTACTACTTCGGAACCTTCCCTATAAAGAGTTAACAGTCTGTCGGCAAAATCGACTGATATTATTTTACTTGTTACTTGTTCTTCCTCGTTCACTTCTTTATTTACATTCCAATGGACATATAATTCAACATTTTTCTTTTTTTTTTCATTTTTCCTTCTTCTAGGATCCTTCAAATTTATATTTAATTATGGAATTCTTGCCCGGTGGTGATATGATGACACTCTTAATGAAAAAGGATACACTCTCAGAAGAATGCACACAATTTTATATAGTGGAAACAGCATTGGCTATAGATTCTATACATAAATTAGGTTTCATACACAGAGATATAAAACCAGACAATTTATTATTGGATGCTCGTGGTCACTTAAAGGTAGTACGAATTTGAATACATTGCAATAAAGAAGTAACAACTTTTTTTTTAACATTTCTAGCTCTCTGATTTTGGTCTCTGCACCGGTTTGAAAAAATCACATCGCACTGATTTCTACAGAGATCTGTCGCAGGCAAAACCCTCAGATTTTATAGGAACATGTGCAAGGTATGTTATTTAAAATTTAAAATCAAGCGTATTTAATTTGGACATTCATTTTTTTGTTTGCAGTCCCATGGATTCGAAACGTCGAGCCGAATCGTGGAAACGTAATCGACGAGCCTTGGCCTACAGTACCGTCGGCACACCTGATTACATTGCTCCTGAGGTATTTCTACAGACCGGTTATGGTCCTGCCTGTGATTGGTGGTCCTTGGGTGTGATTATGTACGAAATGTTAATGGGCTATCCACCATTTTGTTCGGACAATCCACAGGATACCTATCGCAAGGTCATGAATTGGCGTGAAACATTAATATTCCCTCCCGAAATACCCATATCAGAAGAAGCCAAGGAAACAATTATCAAATTTTGTTGTGAGGCCGATCGCCGATTGGGTTCACAGCGTGGCTTGGAAGATTTGAAATCGGTACCGTTCTTCCGTGGCGTCGATTGGGAACATATTCGCGAGAGACCCGCAGCTATACCCGTCGAAGTCCGTTCCATAGATGATACATCGAATTTCGATGAATTCCCAGATGTTTCGTTAGAAATACGTAAGTGTAATGCTGTTTCTTTGGGTGTTTTAATTTGGAATTTGAGAGTTTTAGTGTTTAGATTTTGAAGGGCATTTTTGAATTTAATTTTTGATTATTTAAAGAGAGGTATCCAAAAATATCGAAAAAATCTAGAATTTTTTGATAAAAATAATTCGAAAATGGCCACTTTCTTAGTCTCCTTAATAAATTATACACAATATTCTTGTCCTCAAGGCCCTTTAATATATGGAAAAAATGTACAGGGTGAGATAAAAAAACTGCAACCAATTTCAGACTGCTGTCATTTCTAAGCCACTCGTCCGACAGCTTTTAAAATTGTTCCAGTGACAGCTCATTATATTGATAACAAGCTTACAAAAGCATTTTGGTGAGAACTTTTCAGAAAAAAAGTTATTCGTGATGGAATTCAGGCGTGATAGTGTGATTTCTTTATATTTGGCTGGAAAACCACAAGTGGCTCCAGCATTTAAATGTGGATAAATATTTTGTGTATCGTACCATCGCTCGTTACCGTGATACTGGCAGCGTAGCCCGACGTCAAGGAAGTGGGCGGAAAAAACAGCAACATCAGCGGAAATGGTTTGAAAAGTAAAGAAGAAGCGACTTGATCGAAGCCCGCGTCGCAGTGGCCGAAAAATGGCTCGTGAGCATAATTTCATTCGGCAAATATTGAAAAATGAGCTCGGGGTAAGCCATTGAAACCAAAAAGTGCAAGAACCTACACCGCAACAGAAAGAAAATAGACTCAAAACAGCTAAAGAGTTGCCTCGCTTGGCCGAAAGTTGTGCACTGCAGAATTTGGTTTAGTGGTCTCCGATGAGAAAACATTCGTTGTCCAGCAGTTTGTAAACAAACAAAATGATCGTGTTGACTTGCCAAAGAAGTCAGCTGAAAATGTGCACCTTCGGTTGACCACCAGAACTCAAGCGTCGGCCATGGTGATGGTGTGGGCCGCCATAACGGCCAATGGTCGCTCCAACAGGATTCAGCACCATCGCTCTCAGCGCGAGCCACCCAAGAATGGTTACAAAATAAGGTTCCTCGCTTCATTTCCAGCTAACAATGGCCACCAAAATATCCGGATACCAATCCGTTGGACTATTGTGTCTGGAGTATTTTGCAAGGAAAGTAAGGTTGGCACCAAAAAAATACCAAAGGGTCGATCACCTCAAGCAAGCTCTTAGCCGGGAATGGGCCAAAATACCACAGAACAACATTCGGGCAGCGCGTGACGGTTTCATTGGCCGTTTGAAGGCCATAATTCGTGCCAAAAGTTAACAATTCGAACAAATCTAAACTTATACTAAAATTTGATGTTATTTCCGACGTTTTTGCTTTCATTCAAAAAAAAAAAAAAAAAAATGCAAAAATTATGGCGTTTGACTTTGTTGCATTTTTTTATCTCACCCTGTACTTTCTAATGGTCCATACAAAACGGAATTAAAAGTTCCATGTCTCTGCAGTCTCGAATATATTCCCTTAAAATATCCTAAAAATATACTATCTATCTTTTTTGGTCCTTTTAAGGAATACCCAAATTCTTATGATCATTCCAAAAATATTGATGAGTATCAAGACCTCTTCGACCCATAAAAACGTAATATTCTCGTCCATGGGGTCTTTAAAAAAAATAATAAAAAAATATCCCCATTTTTTTCTACCTTTAATGAAAAATATCCACTTCCGTATGGCCCTCTAAAAAAAGCGGGTACAGGCCCATACCAGAAGAAGAAATATTTCCCAGCACCCCACATATATTTTCAAATTCTCTATCCAAATTCTTTTCTCCTATCGTAGCAGTAGTAATTTCCGTCTTATCCTTCTCATTACAATTTCCATCATTAACTAAAACACAAAAAACATTCCATTCTATTTACAGCAACGGCACCCCTACCCCAAGGCAATGAAATGGCAAAAGATTGGGTTTTTATCAACTACACTTTCAAACGTTTTGAAGTGCGAAATTAAAACAGAATTCTATTTCCTGTGCAAGGACATAGCATCGTTTGCTATTTATTTTTTTCTAATTTTGCGGGCCAAAAACAAAAAAAAACACTATTTTTGCAATCATTGCCAATGCCACAGACAGACCCTCTGTTTATTTGGAATGGAAGAGGGTCACACTCACTCACTGGTCTGTGCACGGACGTACGGAGCAGACACAATTTGGCATTCTTTTTTCTCTCTCCCTCTTTACAAATCCAACCCCAAAATCATTTTGACAACAAATTTGTTTGAAAATAAATAATTTTTTTTGTTTTATTTTTTCTATTACAACAAATCTGGCTGCTAAAAATTTGTTTCTTTTCGTGTTAAAATAAATTTAATGGAAACTAAAAATAAATAATAATAATAAAGAAAAAAACTAATTAAAAATATATATTTATTGAACTAATTGGATTATGTATTGTTTTAATAATAAATGTCCTTAATGATCTAATCTGGTTGTATTTCGAAAGTTTAAGTAGGCCACAGATATCAAATATTGATGCTTCTTTTGAATAAGTTATTTTTTCCATAACATACTTTAGAGGGTGACCTAATAATAACTCAATAAACACTCTTTTCCACACTGTCCTAGTTTCCTAGGTGTAAAGATTTAGGTAGATCTTGACCTGTAAACTTTTTTTAAACCTTATCTTTCAACATATTTTTGAAATGTCTTAAATGGTTTCTGGCAAGATTAGATTCTCTTGATTTAATTTTTTAATTTCCTCTCCTATCTATCCAAAATTATATAATATTTATAATTTTATATTATTTCCTTTTCTTACAGCATCAGCTCCCATGCCCCAAGGCAGTGAAATTGCAAAAGATTGGGTCTTCATTAACTATACATTCAAACGTTTCGAAGTACGAAATCTAGAGTGAGGCTTGGCCTTTATACGTTATTGAACAAAAGAAGTATTTATTTCCATTAGAGATTTTCTTTAGTTTCTTTTCCCCTCACCAAATAACAAACACACAAACATTCATGCCCAAAACTTAATGTATAACGAAAAATAACCAAATATAATTGAAGAACTATATTGTCAAGAATGGCAAAAACAGAAAATGCTTTAGAAGGATGCAAACATTTATTAAATTGATAAAATTCATACTCCGCCGCTACTGGTTTGAACTTTTCTTTTGAAAAACAACTTTTCAAAAATGCCCCCCACACACACAACACAAAGTATAATACAATAACAACAATATCATTTATCACTTAATTCAGATTAAGAATATAAAAAAAAAAATTATAAGAAAACTAAAATACTAAAGCTTAAGTACAATATATTTTAAAATTGTATTTTGTTATAAAATGAAAGGAAAAATAATCAAAATCTAATTCAACATTCAGACACTGAGAAATTTCTGAATAAAAATATGATATTGAGAGAGAGGTGATCATTGTCCTCCCTCTCTCGAATAGTCTAATGTTATTTGTTTATTGGGAATGTTGCTGCAACATCTTTTAAGATTTGTCGAAATATTATTGGCAAATTAATAAAACAATTTTCTTGAAATTTTCCATTTCTGATTTCTTTTATCATTTATTTTTCGCGAAGTGAAACCCTTTTTCTTGAAATTTTCTGTGTCTGATTGCCGAAATACTCAGTGTCTGACCATGATGCAAGTAATATTTTTGTTTGTTTTGACGTCTCTCTTGTTCTCTCTCTCTCTCTCTATCTTGTAAAGACAAAAATGGTAGTATTAAAAACAAACAAAATATATGTTTAGTTTTTTTTTTTAATTTAAACCATTGTTTATTTAGAACAAAGGCTATGTTACATTTACGCCTCTATCACGGTAATGTGCAGCAGCACGGTTAATTGGAAAACCTCAAAATGATTACGTCACTGGACTCCAATGCAAACGTAGCCGTCAAGGCATATATAAAAGAAAAATAAAAATAGTATATACATATGTATGTGTATTTTTTTAAAAAGCAAAATAAAATTAAAAAACACAAGGTAGTTCAAATAATTAAAAATAAAAAGAAAATAATTTCCTATCAACATTTGTGATTTATAAACAAAAAAAAAAAAAAAAGAACGAAGCATATGCAATATCATTCATTAAACCTCTCTGCTGATTTGTTCATGTTTTGCAACTTCTTAGCCATCTCACGCTCTCTCTCTCTCCGTCTCACATACGCAGGCACGCAATATCATTGTTTACATTCATTTCCGTTAAATTCATTTCTACTCATTAACGGTCAGAAATCATTGCTGACATTTTGATTTTTTTTAAACCATGTTCATACGATGCATCAATTTGAGTCTGTTGCAACACTAAATCGAAACCGAATGAGATTTTCGTTAATTTTTCTATTGATTTATGTGCGAAAACTAATGTTCTGTTCTTCGATATCATAGGGGGAAAATTGGTTATCGTAGTAAAAAATTAAAATTTTTGCAGTTTTGGAACAAACCAATAGTTATGTTTATTTCTTACAATGGACATACAAAGCTACAGCATATTTTAATATAATTTATAGAGAGGATTACAACTGCCAATTGCTTTGCTCATATGTCAAGTCTAGATACCAGCAGACTTTTTTGAAATGTCACATTAGAATTGACAGTTGAAATCCAATGGTTGTTTTAAAAATAAACATGATTTTGTTTCACTTTTGTAAATCCTGTTTAACATAACCCGAATATAACTTTGGTTACATTTTAGCCCACAATTTTTCTTCCATTTTTTTATTTTTATTTTTTATTTTTTTTTTTAATTTCAAACAGGTTTAATTATGTTTGTTAACTGGCCTATATGCTTGCCCAATCTTTGCTGTCGTCCATCGCCACTACACCCCCACAACTCCCCACCAGCCATAATACCTAACCAAACAAACAATCAACAAAATATATCACAAAAAAACAACAAACATTTCTTAAAACCAACAACAATAGCTTGAAATTAGAAATAATAAAAAAATAACTACACCTCGTCTAATATTTACTATACCCCCACTTTCCCAATACCAACAAATTAAAGAACAAAATATGTTATAAATTACAACAACAACCAATCGATTTCCACTAAAAGTACATATATTTATAAACAAAATATAATATGAAATAAAATTCAAAATATAATAAAAAAAATCATTTTAAAGAAATACAAATGGAAACAACAGACATCATCTCAAAATAAAAAAATAATTAAAACTAAAAAATATAATTTGTTATTTTTCCCCCACTTTACAATGTGTTGTCTTTGTCTGAAATTTAACAAATTTTATTTTTTATATATTTAAAAAGAGAAAAAATCGAAATATAAACAATAATATAATTAATAATGAAAATAATAAAACAAAAAAGTTTTTAAAAATGATAACAACAAAGAAAATCAAGAAAAAGAAAACATATTTTTGGTAATCAATAGGAATACTAAAATACATTTTAAGAAAAAAATAAAAAACACAAAATAAATTTAAAAGAATAACAAATAAACGCAATAAATGGAAGTGTGCATACAAATGATTTTTGTGTTATTTTTAATGGAGGATAATATAGTTTTTGGATTTTATGATCGTTTTGGTTATTCAAAACTTTGACCCTTTGTGGGGGAGGTACCAGATTAAATGGTCAGATCTCTACCATTTTCAAAACAGATCTTGTGTTGATTGAAATATTGAGATGTGCCAAGTTTGAAGGGAATCGGATGTTAATTTCGTGTTTTTTGAGATTCATGAATATTCAGAATGTTGACCCCTTGTGGGGGAGGTAACATAAGGAGTGGACCGAAATATTTCATCTTCACACCAGACCTTGGGTAAATAAAAATATTGTGATGTGTGTAATTTGAAGAGAACCGGATGCTTATTTTGAATTTTATGATCGTTTTGGTTAATCGGAACTTTCACCCTTTGTGGGGGAGGTAGTAGAAGAAATGGTCCGATCTCTAACATATTTATAACTGATCATGTGTTGATGGAAATATTGAAATGTGCCAAGTCTGAATGGCATCGTATGTTAATTTCTCGTTTTATGAACTTCATTGATATTCAAAATTGTTACCCTTTGTAGGGAAGGTGCCAGAAGAAGTCGACCGATCTTCACACCAGACCTTGGGTTAATGAAAATATTGTAATGTGTGTAATTTGATGAGTATCGGACGTTAATTTCGGATTTTATGATCGTTTTGGTTTTTAAAAATGTCGACCCTTTTTGCGGGAGGTACCAGAAGGATGGGTCCGATCTCTACCACATTTATAACAGATCTTGTGTTTATAAAAATATTGAGATGTGGCAAGTCTTAATGGAATCGGATATTAATTTTGTGTTTTTGAGCTTCATGAATATTCAAAATTTTGACCCTTTGTGGGGGAGGTACCGGAAGGAGTGGATCGATACATTCCATCTTCACAGCAGATCTTGAGTTAACAAAAATATTGTGAATTGTGTAATATGCTGATTTTGGAGTTTATGATCGTTTTGGTTATTCAAAACATTGACCCTTTGTGGGGTAGGTACCAGAAGGATGGGTCCGATCTCTACCATCTTTGTAACAGATCTTATTTTTTATAAAAAATATTGAATTGCGCTAAGTTTGAATGCAATCGGATGTTAATTTCCCGTTTTATGAGCTTAATAAATATTCAAAATATTGACCCTTTGTGGGGGAGATAACATTTTCGCACCTGACCTAACACTGATTCAAATATTAGGATTTGCAAAGTTGTAGCAAAATCAAATTATCCTTTCTCTTCCGGTGCAGTAAATTATTTTCTTTGAGAATGTTGAACTTTTTGTGGGGGAGGTACCAGAAGAAGTGGACCGACATTGCCCATCTCCGAACTCGATCTAAGTTTGACAATAATATTACGATGTACCAAATTTGGATAAAATTGGATACTCCCTTCGAGAGTTATCGTGCCGGACAGACATCGCTAGATCGACTCCAAATGTCCTGAAACGAATTTTCTCCAAAGAAACCTAGGGTCTAAAACCGTTATTTCGATGAGACACATTTTGGCCGTATCAAATGATATATACACTCTGTAGCCATATGGCTGAGGGCATACAAAATGAATGGGTTTAAATATAGGAACAGAACCCTCGAATTAAGTGATATAATATTTTCTATTTTCAATATCAAACATCTTAGGAATAACATTAAAGCGTGTGCCAATTTTTAAAACTCCGTCCTTAATAATATCAGCTCTATCTTGATTTTAACATACGAACACCGTTTGAACCATGGTACAATGAAGAGAAGGTAGGTCAACTTTGAAAAAATTGCAAGTATAGAGGTCTACCTGTTTGGCTTGTAATGTCAGAATTACTATCAAAACAATAAAAAATCAAACAACTTGTTGCATTTATTTTGAATAAATAATTGAAAACCGCGATAACTGAATGAAAGGTCAACACTTCTTTTCAAAATCATGTACTATATATCTCTAAAGGATTATTTCGCTACAAAAACTCTAGATTTTGTCGATGCATACGTTGAAATAAACATTTTGAAAACACCCGAATTTGAATGTTTCAGAACAATTTTTTTGTTATTGAAAAGAAAACACACACATAAACAAATAAATATGACATATTAAGCCAAGAAAATAAAAAAATTAAAATCATATGGTTTCAAAGCCCTACCTTGATATCATTGTACCATGATTGTACCATGGTTTGAACGGCATAGTTCCAAATTTTAAGTTAGTTGATGATTTTTTTCCGAGGCGTTGCAAACGAAATAAAAAATAAATATTTTTTCTTTCATTTAATCAATGACGAAGGCGGTTACTGCCCGAGCCCCCTTTCGAAATAGATAATTTTTAGAAAATTCCGAAACGTTTTTTTTGGTTTGAAAAATCTAAATTTTTTGTCTGTTGCCCCGTCGAAATGGGTTTGAAAGACATTTTTGAATACGTCGGTGGGAAGAGGGTATACAAATTAATGGCTGGTATGGTATGGTAATGGTTTTGGTATGATGATACGAAGGAGAATACGAACGGCATAGAATTTAAATTTAGTTGACGATAATTTCGAGGCGTTGCAAACGAAATAGAAAAAAAAATTATCCTTAATTTAATCATGGCAGCAATGACGAAGCCTGAGTACTGTCCGGGTCCTATCGAAATTGATAATTTTTAGAAAATTTCGAAACAATTTCTTTTTTGTTTGAAAAATCTGATTTTTTTGTCCGTTTGCCTCGTCGAAATGGGTATGAAAGACATTTCTGAATACGTCGGTGGGAAGAGGGTATAAAAATTAAGGGGTAGTTTTGGTATTATGATACGAAGGAGAATACGAACGGCATAGCATTTTAAGTTAATTGACGATTTATTCCGAGGCGTTGCAAATGAAATAAAAAATAAATAGAACGGTGTTGGCTTGTTTGTTCGGGATACCGTAGTATTTTGTTATTGCAAAATGGTCAGGCTTTATCCCTTTATTGTTTTTATAAAACAACGTTTGTTTAGTAGTGGAGAACAGTGGTAATGTTTACCAGGGGGGGGGGGGGGGGCAGGAAATACCTAGGTTTCGGAAAGAGCCACCAATCCTCATCAGTTCCCTTGTTTTTTGTCTGGGATATTCTCCCCAGAAGTTATTTTAAAAATAACTTCTATGACAAAAAACATTTTTGACAAAAAACATTTTTGTCATATAAACATTACCTGGTAAACATTACCATCGTTCTCCACTAATAAACAAACGTTGTTTTATAAAAACAACAATAAAGGGATAAAGCCTGACCATTTTGCAACAACAAAATAAAAAATAAATATTATATCCTTCATTTAATAATGGAAGCACCGTCGTTGTACTGCCCGGCCCTCTTTCGAAATATATAATTTTTATAAAATTTCGAAAAATTTTTTTTGGTTTGAAAAATCTATTTTTTTTCCGTTGGCCCCGTCGAAATTGGTTTGAAAGACATTCCTGGATACGTCGGTGGGAAGAGGTTATGAAAACCAAGGACCAGTTTCGCTATGACGATACGAGGGTGAATACGAAAGTAGAACGCAATTCCAAATGATTTTTTTTTATGTTTCATGAAAATTTGAAAAACTCATTTGGAATGTTGTTTTTGTTTTCGTTCGCTTTCGCCATACAAAAACAGGCCCCAAATCTCCAGGATTCATGAGCAGGTTAATACTTACCTTTCACTGTCCTATGACGATTTCCCTTCCTTATTCATTCTGAATAGATGTTTATAAAAAAATACAAATCATATTTTGTTTTTACCCAATTAACACACTAAAAATTGTATGTATTTTCTTTTCATCTTTTCTTTCGTGGCGTATTTATAACACCTTGATTGTTATACGAAACCATTACAGACATGAATGAATAAAGATTTCAAGCCATTTTAGATATTCAAACTATCTATAAAACACAAAAAAAGAGATTAAAACGAAACTTGAGTAAACGAAAGTTGGAGCCAAAAGAAAAAAATGTGTGTTAAAAAAACACGACTAGTTCAAAACAATTTGGTAATTAAAATAAAGCAATTTTTTTCTATTATTAAAAAAGTCAGGGACCCAGGTTTCTAAAATGTTGCACGATTCGTTTGAGAAAAAAATTTTGAAATCTTTATTTCTTTTTTTGTGAAATGTTGTAACGGCAGTAGGTTTTCTTTCTGTTATCTTTTTTTTAAAGTTTAAATATTTGTTTTATTTACTTAAATTTATAATTATTTGTTTTTGTTGCCATTTTTCGTTTGTTTGTTTGTTGTTTTTTTTTTATTAATATTATCCATAAAATAATAATAAAATGTTAAAAGTTTAACTATGTCTTAAAGTCTAATGAAAAAAGTATGTATGTGTATACATAGACGAATATGTATATGTAATTGGTTTGCATCCAGTGTACTGTAGTTCGTGTTTATTTTTTTCTGTCTCTTACCGCATATCATGGAAATCGGGATACGCCACAACGTACGCAAAATTTCCGATATGCATTTTGGGTAAGCCATTGCATGCCGTTTTTGTTAATTTTATTTATATATTTATATATATATGTGTGTGTGTGTGTGTTTGAATGTGAAATTCGCCTTCCAATCTTTACGCTTTGTCTGTCTGTATGTTGGTAATAGTTGTTTCCTTCAATGCATTACGGATTTTCCACTTCTTTTTTGGGGGGAGAGACTATTGGTAGTGGATGTATCGCTGTTCCTTTCCTGACATTGCCTTCATATCTGGTGTGTGTAAAGTTGCAGATTTTTGAATATGTCTGAATATTTTGTTGTCCTTTCTATTTCATAGTTGTTGCTGCAAGGGAGGAGTTACTATTGTATTTGTTTTTGTTGTAATAGGATTTTGTTTAAAAATCGTATGTGGTATTTTTTTTTTTTTGTTTATGTTATTGCTTCTGCTGTTGCTGGTATAGTTTTCTGTTGTTTGTTTTTTGTTTTACGACGTTTAGAGATTAATGCTAATTGGTTGGATTTTTGTTTTACGCAAACGTACAAAGAATTTAAAATTTAATTTGTTTTTTGTTTTCGGGTATTGAATTGTTTGTCGGTTGATGCGGTATTCTATAGATGTATGTACAGTTGTTGGTTGGTTGTTCTATTTAATTCAATTTAGGACTGCTCATCAACTAGGAGCATTATTTGTTGTGTGGTTGCTGGTGCTGGATTCCGTGTGCACTCCACCTGATGGGCATTCCAATCTTTTCGTTGGCAAAACTCCGAACAATAGGGGGTCTTTCGGCATAGCGAACATTCCGCCAATGCCTCGCGATTGCAGTTGGCGCACTAAAAACAAAGCAGATCACATATTAATATGGCAAACATAGATAGGTATCCATTTTACTTACCTTTTTAGCTGATATTATTTCGTTGCCATGTAATGAACCCGATATATTTGGATCGTCTAAATCGGCATGTACCTGGACACGCATTGCTGCCACCGCTGCATCCCGCTCCTTTTGTAGTATTTCGATTTTACGATCGTATGTGTTCTTTAAATCCGTCAGTATGCGTTTAAAATCATTGGTCGCCTTGACCATTGTGCAATAAACATTCTCTAGTGTTTTCATTGTCTGACTATTATCTAACAATGCAATTGACCCCGGATCATTGATATTCACCACAAACGTCTCCCGATCGTAGGGATTACCGATTTGTGTCTGATCTACCAGTTCTGTGGATGTGTCGAGGCTGTCATTTAATGTCGGCCACGGTTCATCCTTGGAGGTAATATTATCTTCGGTTAAAAACATATTATTATCATCGACTACTGTGGCCTGCGGTGGTGGTTCGGTATTGTTGACAACATTGTTATTGTTGTTGGTATTTCGTTTACGTTTGGGACCCATATCACCATCTTCTTGATTTCGCTTCCGGCGTTTGTAGGGGGTAAATAGACGTACGGGACCGGAGGCTGAAAAAAGAAAAATAAAAAATGGGAAATTAAATAAAGAAATGCAGATGATTTGATAGAATTTTAGCAGATGTATTTCCGGACGCTAAAAAGGCTAAATACCAAAAATATTATCAATTCAAAATATTTGTGGGAACTTTAACTAAATCTTCAACGATTTTATCAAAAATCATCGAATAATGTTGTTGGCTGTTTTGGCAAAAAAAGGAATCCTGGGACCTTTTTTAAAACTGAACTGATTTCACAGAAAACCCTTAGAGATATTTGTAGACTCCACATGTGGATCTATTTGAACCAAATTCGACTAGACTCGTAGTAGTTTAAAAAAGGTAGTACGATAAATGTTAAGAACTCAAATCGCCAAATTAACAACTACATATTCAAGAGGGACGGATAAATTCTTAAAAAAATTCCGAAGGACAGGACATGGCATGGCATTTTTATGTAAATGCTTTTGGCACAATAAAATCCATCACAACGTCTCCTGCCCAGTTATGCGCAATATTAACGGATTCCGTGGATCGATTTGAACCGAATTCGACTAGCCTTTTAGTAGTTTAAAGAAGCTAGACGAAGAATGCTCAGAACCCCAATCATCAATTTAAAATAAAATATTTAAGAGGGACGGATATATTATTTAAAAAAATCGGAAGGACAGGACATGACATGGCATCCTTATGTAAATGCTTTTGGCACAACAAAATCCATCGCAACCTCTCTTGCCCACTTTTGCGCAATATTAGCGGATTCCACAAATTTTGCAAATTTCTAAAAGACCACATGAACTTTTTTTTTGTGGACTCTCCAAAATGTTTCTTCCCAGCAACTTTTTGTTGTCACATCCTAGAGCAGAGGATACAAGAAACTCAAAACACTTTGTGATTTTTTTTTTCATACCAAACATCTCTCATTCATACTCACCAGCTTCATCATCACAACACACCGTGCAACTACAGTTTGTGGCGTGCGGTGTCAATGTGCCTTCATCAATTAACGACTGTAGGGATTTACCACCATATTTGATGGAACGCTTCCAATCTTTACTGGAACCACGACCACATGTCTGTTCGAATTCACTTGGTGTCAGCCATTTGTCTTTGTACTTAACACAGCGACCCCGGCCGCCGGAACCCAATTTACTGCGATACAGCTCTGCACTGGTGGTCTTACATCGGATGGGAAACACTTCCATTTGCGATGTTTCGGACCAACTGACACCCGACCCCGAACCACAGCCTGAGCCGGGACCACCGTGTACCAGTTGATCGCCGGTGACGGTGCTGTCATGACTGTTATTACTACCGGAACCGTCATGATTTAGACCACCTAATGTACCAGTCGCCGTGGCTTGGCCACCGCCGACATTTGTGTTATCACTTTGTTGTTGCTGATGTATAACAATCGTCTTTAGATCACCACCCACCACAGTGCCACTTGAAATGTAGCCATTGTTGTCGACGCACAGCATCTGTTTGAAATGCGGTAAATGATCGGGGGTTATAACATTAAAAGCTGTACCAGCAATCATGGAACCAATTGGCAGGGAAACGGGCACCGAGACAACACCGCCACCACTACCTCCACTATTCTCATTTGACGATGTTACCATATGAACTTTGGTCTCCAGCTGCAGCATTGGATTGCAAGAATTGACAACCAAAAATTAAGAGGAGTCAGAAATCACCAGCAGCACATCACACACATCCAGGTAGAGCGAGAGAGAGGAGAAAAACAATGAAAACAACAAATACCAATTAGAAAATGTACACAATCTTAATTAGCCGTAATTATTTTCCTTTTTCGGGAGGGAAAACAACACACATGTCAGAAAAATCACAAAAATATATACACAATTTTTCAACATTCAACATTACATTACAGCACTAGCAGCAAGAGGGAGGCAGCGGGCGGGTAGGCGGTCGTTTGGTCACTTGGATAGGATAGATAATGATCGTTCACAGGCAGTCAACGAAATAACACCACACCATCCACGTATGGCTGTGGGTCCACAAACATATAACGTGCCAGGAACATCTCATCATCCCGTCCAGCACAACGGAATTTGACCACTTGCCCGCTTCTTCTTTCCTCTTGTGATTACACTTTTCTCTATTTGTTTTTCTGTGCTCATTCGTTTGCTCCGTTTTGTTTTTCTTTTCAGTTTTTGTGGTTTTGTATTTTCTGGCGTACGCACCTGATGGCCGGAACTCTCAAGTATAACTTCTTCTTTAACGTCACGCGCCTCATCGCTGAGCACGGCTAATTCTTTGACATCACGTATTCGGCTCAGATGCATCGAGTCCTGTTCCATAGCTTAATCTACTATGGAGATTTGGGTGATTTTTGCCAGTGTCTACTTTGTTCTTGTTCTTCGTCGTTTTTGCTCTTCAGTGACTGCTGGCTACACACACAAAATAACTGCACAAGACTTTTTTCCCACAATATCGAAAAAAGTTGCCGTGTAAAATTAATTTTAGGCGGTCTCGCCGTCAACATTCACTGAACGTAACCACTTTCCGCTTAGAGGACGAATCGCCGCACGTAATTTCAATAAATTTAGTTCTTAAATTACATCGAATTCAATATTAAACTAGTTTCACAGACTTTATAAATCCATTGAATCCAATCCTATAAATAAAAAAATAAATAGAAGACGAAATGAGAAAAGGGTATAAGTGATCAGGGTTGTATTTGTTGACAGCGAATGTCAACGTCAGGTTGTTTTATGTGTCAAGTTTTTTTGGCCAGCGCAACTACAACCCTGGGCTAAATGCAACAAGGAGCTTTTGTGGCAAATAAATCATTTAAATTTTTATTATATTGTTCGATTGCTTTTTTGTATAGGAATTGTAAAAAAATTATTGCATGCTTGAAAATATTATTTCGTATTTTATAACAAACAATTCACTAAAAGCTATTAACATAACACTATATATTAAGTGTGCTACACACTATCGAACACATTGTTTGCTCTTATTGGAAATGTGACCATTTATTTTTTCTAATTGGAATGAAGATTGGAGATTACACAAAATAAATTGTCTCCAATCAGAGTTGTATTTAACTTCTAAAGAAATACTGTTTGGTTTTATTTTGACATTTTCAAAGACGGTAAATGTTAACATATTTCGACCTTAGAGATAAGTTATAACGAAAAGTAATGTGTAAAACAAAAAAATGAAATATATATCAATTTTTTGAGTGTTGTAAACGTATGACAAGTATAGAAATAATTAGATAGCTCTTATAATTATATTTTTTTGCCATTTCTATTAGGAACTATATGATTTTCGTGAATGATATTTCCTATAAAAATCCAGTCAGCTGTTTAAGAAAATTTTCGTAATTACTATTTGTAATCTTAAATATATTTCAAAGTTGTTAATTTTGCAAATATTAGCCTAATTACATTTGCTCTATACCAGAATCTACTACTTTTGCATATTTTTCGATTATTATAAAGGGAAAATCGGTTATCGTGGTAAAAAAACTTTTAAATTCTTGCAATTCTGGAACAGAGAAATTATTTTTTATTAATTTTAGGAATAAAAAACATATTAATCTAATGTATATAAACAAAGATAATAGTTTCGGTTCATAACTAAACAGTCATTATTGTCGACATGATTTTGATTGTTTTCCCAGTGTTGCTATTTTTTCGTTCACGTATTTTCCCAACTATTTTTTCTGTGAGACAAATTTTGTCTAAAAATTGGATTTGTGATTTAAATGCACTCGAAATTCTGAAGAAGGTCTAAATCGTCTACCCTTTAAGCTAAAACAGACCAAAGCTTAAATTGTGACTTCGGCGTTAAAATTCAACAAGGTTGCCACTTGTAGCTGACAACAGTGTTGTATTTTCATCTGTAGAAGAATATAAGTAGACGCATCTACACAGCTGCTGGGACAATGAACTGTCAAACAAATTTTGCAATTGAAATTTTTGAATGAAAATGGGATTCAAATTTGTAAAAGTTGTTGAAAAATGCATCTTATAATAACTTCCGATTGACGTCGTATAAAAAACATATAAAAATCTACTTATATTTGAAAAAAAAAAAATAAATTTTTTTTTCACATAACAATATTCCAGGCGTTGATGCATATTTTTTTACCTTGCCTTCAATCTAATGTTACTTTACGTTTACACCAGACAACTTTTCTAAATATTATTTGTATTTTCCCATGATGGAAAAATCTTAAATTTTATGCTCTGTTCAAAAACCTGCAAGAATATACTAGTTTTGCAATTAATTTCGATATTATCAAGTTATAATATTGATGTAAAAAGTTTTACATTCTTGCAATTGTGAAATGAAGCAGTAGTAAAATTTTTAAATGATAACGTATTCGGTTAGTCTACAAATCAAATAGATTGGTAGGATACAAGTTACATTTTTATACCGCTGAAATATGGAATAAATACCTGTTTTATGTTTTCCATATACTCAAAATTATGCCTTTCGTTATAAATTAAAATATGAAAGAGTTGCCAACGACGTTTTAGCAACTGATGTCACTGTGACATGTTTTGGCAATTCACCGAACAGACCTTTTAAGTGTAATGGGGGTTATCATTCATACTGCATGGCAATGTCATTTAGAAGAATAAGAAGAAGACTGAAATAAAATAATAATCCAAGGAGTCTATTCACAATAGTGCTAAAACTACTAGGAAAATAATGCTGGCGGACGTTGATGTTTTTCTAACAAACTATACAATAGTGGATCCAGAAATCTATGGATTGTGGATAGAAGGATATACGTGTAATATATCTAATACAATACAAACAAAGTTACAATTTCTAACTAAAATAATTCATGTTATTTCCTGCAGCAACAGAAGCAGTTTGCTACTTGAAGCAAAAAGGCTTTGGCCATTTAATGGGTGTTCACATCGATCTGATAACATCTGATGTTTTGGATCATTATCGGACATATTCGTTGATTGAACGTCTATTGCATAGTCCCATCAAATTGGTGGAACAGTCATGTTTTCAATTGCAGCCAGAGACACGCGATCTAATCATTGAAAAGTATGGGGTGTGATTTTTTACTATCAGTTAAATAGATAATATTGATTTGTTTTGATCTAAATGTTGTTGGTGTTATAAGGTACTACTCCATTGATGATGCAGTGGCACGTGAAATATTGGGTAAAAAGCTATCGTCACGTTATCGCAAAGATTTGGATGAGGTGGCCGAAAAGACAGGTGTGAAATTGAAATCAGTAAGGTATGAGTTTGGAGGAATTTAATCCTTCAGACATTTGCTAATAGTGTTTTTTATTTCCAGGAGACAGTTTGATAATGTCAAGCGCATCTTTAAAGCAGTGGAAGAGCTGCCGGGCAATATTACTAATAACATTAAACAATTATTCTCCATATCAGAAGAGTTGGCCAAGTAAGGGTGTTTTTTTTTCCAATGATTAAGGAGTTCCATAGTTCAATTAAAAATGATTTATTTTGCAGAAAATACGCCTCCATTGTATTTCTGGCCTGTTTACGTTTTGAAACCTCCAAGAAGAAGTTGCAATATTTAAGTTTTAGTGATCTGTTTGCCTGCTCTCAGGCTGTCATGATCTATTGGACCTATACTTATCAACATTCCGGTCCAGAGTATTATGACACAGAAATGGATAAGGAATTTTTACTTGACTTACGGGAACTGAGATGTCTGCTGGATAAGGAGAAGGAAATTAAACAGTAAGTTTGGATGTCCGTTTCTTTAGGGTTATTTTGATATAAACTTATTATTCTTTTCATAGCTTGGTATGTTTGCGCTTGAAACCCATTCTGTTGGAGAGAGCTTTCCATGAATTGGATAACAATTTCCGGTAAGCCTCTTATTCGGCAATGTTTTCCTTTAAATTAAAAATATTTTTATATTTTAAATTTTGATAGCTCATACTGGCGTTCTTTAATTAGCATTGCCTGTAATTTACATCGCACACGAGAACTACGAGATCTATATGTTGATCTGTGTGAGAAATTGGTAGAACCATGGCGTCAAAATGCTTGGGCCAGGGAGCATGTGAATAAATTTTTGGCTGCTATAACTCAAAGCGTTTTAGATTTGGAAATATCAAGGTAATGAAAAGATAATGGAAATTAGAATTTAAAATTTCTATGTAATTGACAATGAATTACAAATATTTGTTTTTGTTTTTGTTTTTTTTATGTTCCAGAGATCAAGAGACACGCTGCCTATGGGATCGTTATATGCAAGTTATCAGTATATGTTTAGATAAAATGTATCATGTTTAACTCAATTCCTATTTTTTTATGTTTATTACATATTTTTTTTTTTAATATGTTTTTTTTATGGTTTGTTTCCTGTATTAGGCCCTTTTTGTTATCTACTAATTACAAACAAAACAAAAAAAATCAAAACAATAATTAAATAAAATTTATTAATAAAATGCCTATTTTAAATAGCTAATAAAAATGGTATTTTTTAAAAGGAAAATGGTAATGGTAAATAAATAAATTTATTGTTAAGAAAATTTCACAGTAAGTTAATATACAAAACAACTATCTAAAAAAACACAAAATATATATTATATTACAGTGTTATTTTCTTTATTTTATTATTTTTTTGAGTGAATTTCGATTTTGCCAAAAATCCCTTAAAATTATTCAATTCAAAGTTATGGTGTCAAAGGAAAAAATATTCTTCATCAAATTCCGCTATTAGTTGCTTCACAAAACAATCGGTATATGTGCTATATGAATGAATAAAACAATGGAGTATAAAAAAATTCGTAATTTTTTAGGTTATGTTCAATTTGTGTAAATTTTGGGCAGAAGAAATTTCTATAGAGGTTTGGTATCAATGGAGTATGTTTCTACATCAAATTTCACTATGGTAGCCAAATATATGAAATTGGTAGAATGAATGAAAAACATCAAAAATAAGTGGATCTAAAATGCATGAATAGGTTATTACCCTTTTATGAGGTTTAATTTCAATTTTAGTTAACACCTTCTACAAAACTTAAATTTCGAGTAATGGGGCAAATTGAAAACGTAAATTCTTCATCCAATTTTAATATGGATCACCAAAAACCGGAAATTTCTAACAAAAAATTGGATGTAACGAATTTTAAAAGAATCGTTTATTCAAAATTTTAACCCCTTTGTATGAGAGGTACCTGAAGGAGTGGTCTAATATCTACCATATTTACACCTGATATTGTGTTGGAAAAAATTTTGCTATTTGTGAAATTTGAAGAGAATCGAATGCTTATTTCACATTTTATGGGCATTTTAGTTATTTAAAATTTCGATTCCTTTGTGGAGCAGGTACCAGAAGGGTGGACCGATATCTACCATCTTCACACCAGATATCGTGTTAGTTAAAATATTAAGGTGTGTGAAATTTGAAAAGAATCGGTTGCTTATTTCGCATTTTATGAGCGTTTTGGTTATTCAAAATTTTAACGCCTTTGTGTGGGGGTACCAGAAGGAGTGGTCCAATATCTACCATCTTTACACCTATTATTGTGTTGGAATAAATATTGCTATTTGTGAAATTTGAAGAGAATCGAATGCTTATTTCGCATGTTATGGGCATTTTAGTTATTTAAAATTTCGATCCCTTTGTAGGGCAGATACCAGAAGGGATGTACCGATATCTACCATCTTCACACCAGATATTGTGTTAGTAAAAATATTAAGGTGTGTGAAATTTGAAAAGAATTGAATGCTTATTTCGCATTTTAATAGCGTTTTGGCTACTCGGATTTTTGACCTCCTTGTGGGGGAGTTACCAGAAGGACTGGACCGATATATATCATCTTCACACCCTATCTTGTGTTGATAGAAATATTGAGATGTACCAAGTTTGAGAAGAATCGAATGGCTGTTTCGCCTTTTATGGACATTATAGCTATTTAAAATTTCGATCCCTTTGTGGGGCGGGTACCAGAAGGTATGAACCGATATCTACCATCTTCACACCAGATATTGTGTTAGTAAAAATATTAAAGTGTGTGAAATTTGAAAAGAATCGGATGCTTATTTCGCATTTTATGAGCGTTATGGGTATTCGAAATTTTTCCCTTTTTGTGGGGGAGTTACCAGAAGGACTGGACCGATATAAATCATTTTCACACTCTATCTTGTGTTGATAGAAATATTGAGATGTGCCGAGTTTAAAAAGAATCGAATGACTATTCCGCATTTTATGGGCATTTTAGTTTTTCAAAATTTCGATCCCTTTGTGGGGCGGGTACCAGAAGGTGTGGACCGATATCTACCATCTTCACACCTGAAATTGTGTTAGTAAAAATATTAAAGTGTGTGAAATTTGAAAAGAATCGGATGCTTATTTCGCATTTTATGAGCGTTATGGGTATTCGAAATTTTTACCTCTTTGTGGGGGAGTTACCAAAAGGAGTGGACCGTTATATATCATTTTCACACCCAATCTTGTGTTGATAGAAATATTGAGATGTGCCAGGTTTGAGAAGAATCGGCTAGTTATTTAGCATTTAATGAGCATTTTGCATTTTTAAAGTTCTTTCATATTCGTGGAAGGTATTTTAGATTCTATGGAGTTATACTTCATCCTAGTAGCTGAAATTTAATTAAAGGCCACCAACCTATTGTATTTATCAACAAAAACTATTTATTAAGGGGCATATGTTAGAAATTCATGATTACCTTAGTTTCTTGCTAATTTGTGGCATTTTACTCCATTTTAGAGGAATACTGTGAATGACGGAAAAGTTCTCCATCAAATTTCACTAGGGGTCGCCAAACAAACCAATTCTCCATCTATAATATTTAACTCAAAAAAACGTTCCAAATATTTATTCGATTTTTTGAGGTTAGTTTTTGGTATTGTGTTTTCCTGTAGGGCATCTAAAATTCGTTGCAATCTCCAACCATTCTTGGTATATAGATACACACATAGATACGTTGCAATCCATGAGATACCAACAAAACCTCCCACACACACACGCATGTATCTCATTTGACATCAATAAAGTTCAAAGCTTTAGAATTGTTTTGACAGATGTAAGCTTACATTGCGAAAAATGGTGGAAAACATGGCGAAAAAAACATATAGCGAAAAACCAAGCAAAGCAACAAATTGTCAAAACCCACCAGCCAACCAACCAACCAAGCCAATCTCAAGGAAAATTTTGAGGAAAAAATCTGCATATTCAAGAAAAGGAAATTAAAACTTGGACCAACATAAGTCAGGGATAGGGAAATTGGAAAGGAAGTTCGGAGAAAAAAAACAAACATTTCAATGGAGTATTGGTAAGTAAGGCAAACAGTTGAATGTTGTGGGGCAATGTGGAGAAGGCAGCCAGCAACCAGAACAGCTGGAAAGCCAAGAAAAAAATGTAATTTGTGTGGAAGGATCATAGATGTATACCACCAAATGTATGGAAAGATTTCAATAACATTAAGCTTTTCCATTCCCAGCGACAATCTACCGGAAGAATTGGACGATGAGACCTGCGATGAGGAAAAATCAGCAAGGACCTCAGATGAAAATCGCAAGTAAGTACCCATTGTCTAGAATACATGAATTGGTCAAAATGAAATAATTCACATATCCTCCCTTACTCTCCATAGGCAAAATCACAGTGAAATCGAAAAAAGGCGCAGGGACAAAATGAACACCTACATCAATGAGCTGTCTGCCATGATACCCATGTGCTATGCCATGCATCGTAAACTGGACAAGTTAACAGTACTGCGAATGGCTGTACAACATTTACGTAGCATACGTGGTGCTGTCCATGCCTACAGTGGAGCCGATGGCAAACCAACATTTCTCTCAGATCAAGAATTGAAAATGCTCATACTGCAGGCAGCCGAAGGATTTCTATTTGTGGTCGGTTGTGATCGTGGGCGTATACTTTATGTCTCAGAATCTGTATCGAAGGTTTTGAATTATACACAAACCGATTTGTTGGGTCAGAGTTGGTTTGATGTGCTGCATCCGAAGGATGTGGCCAAGGTAAAGGAACAACTCTCCTCACTGGATCCCTGTCCCAGGGAGAGACTAATAGATGCCAAAAGTATGTCAAAAATCGCATTTATTTATCTAAACTAATCCAATTTGTTTCCCTTTGGACAGCCATGCTGCCAGTCAAAGCCGATATACCCCAGAGTTTATGTCGCCTGTGTCCGGGTGCGCGCAGATCATTTTTCTGTCGCATGAAACTGAAAGCCGCCCTCAACAACAATCAAATCAAAGAGGAATCTGACACCTCATCCAGTTCGCGCAGTTCAACAAAACGGAAATCGAAATTGAGCATGGATGACAAATATCGTGTTATACAATGCACCGGTTACTTAAAGTCCTGGACACCCATAAAGGAGGAAAATCACGATGGCGACAGCGACGATCAAATCACCAACAATATGTCTTGTTTGGTGGCCATCGGACGTATACCCTCAAATGTTTTAGAAGATCAAATACCCACCTCATTGGATCATCATCCGAACATAAGGCATGTTAAATTTTTATCGCGGCATTCCGTGGATGGTAAATTCCTGTTTATAGATCAAAGGTAGGATAATTACCAATATTTCTAAAAAGAACATAAAATCTAAATTTCCTTTTTTTCTGTTACAGAGCCACCTTGGCGGTGGGTTTCCTGCCCCAAGAAATATTGGGCAGTAGTTTCTATGAGTACTTTCATCCCGAAGATATACCCGCCTTGGCTGAGTCACATAAACTGGTCTTACAAGTAGCCGAAAAAGTCACCACCCAGGTGTATCGATTTCGTTGTAAGGACAACAGCTTTATTCAGCTTCAAAGTGAATGGCGTGCATTTAAAAATCCCTGGACAACAGAGATTGAATATATTATGGCTAAGAATTCGGTATTTTTCTAATGTATGATTTTTTCCATTCCTCCTTGTCGTCTCTCTGCCCCACCTACCCCCAATTATTTACTGAGAACAGAAATAAAAAATATGATGAAAAAAATACAAAAAAAGATATGTTATGGAAAAAAGTGTGGTTATCCTACATTTAAAATGTTTTATGTAGGTGGAACGGACAAATGAGGATGATTGGAAAAGGAATCCCGGGTTTTTAATAGGTCACTTATCCATCAGCGGTAGCTAATGTGGAAAAATTGTACTGATTTTTAACTAAATTCGAGAATTCACCGACGATTTCGAGATAACATAAAGATTTTCTCCACTACTACATGAGAAACTTTTCCACTTTTATTTAAGAAAAGCGTGGATAAACTGTACACCGTCTCTTGGTAGCGTGGACTATAAACCAAGTCAATTGGGATAAATTATCCACGCTTCCTAATGGGCCATGATCGACGTATATTGTGTATATTTTATAAATTGACTTATTTCGGCGATACATTAAATAACTCTTTCAGTTTTCTGGACAATTCGTACATGGTTTTACATAATTTATATACTCTAATCAAATATAATTTTTTACGCTATTTAAGGTCTACATTCAGAAAACTGGATAGTGTAAAGCAACCTTAAGAGCCGCAATATATTTGTGCTTACTGAACACAGCTCAACGAACAGTTGATTGTGGCATAAAAAGCTTTGTTTTAAATGTTCGTTTCAATGTATATATTTAACGTTAATTCATGCTCCATGCTCTCTAGACGACGCCGTTAATGGGTCATGATCAACGTATATTGTGTATATTTTATGAATTGACTCATTCCGGCGATACTTCAATTAACTCATCCAGTTTTCTGACAATTCGTACATGGGTTTTGTATTTTATTTAATGTCTGCATTCAGCAAATTATGTAGTGTAAAGCAGCCTTAAGAGCCACAATATCTTTGTGCTTATTGAACACAGCTCATTGAACAGTTGATTGCAGCACAAAAAGCTTTATTTTAAATGTTCGTTTCAATGCATATATTTAACGTTAATTTGTCCAATTACTGAATTATATGTTGTAAAGTAATGGCACAAACAAATCATAATAATTGACTGATCAAATACAATTAAATAAATATTTATACTGATGTGTTTATAGGGAGACTTTATTACATGGCAGAAAAATACAGGTAGATGCATCAACGCTTGGGAGCATTGATGTGTCAAAAATTTTTAAATGTTTTTTTTAAATATAAGTAGATTTTTATATGTTTTCTTATACGACGCCATTCGGAAGTAATTATAATTCGTGTTTTTCAACAATGTTTATAAATTTAAATAATTTTTCATTCAACATTTTCAATTCCAAAATTGGTTTGACAGTTCATTGTCTCAGCAGCTGTGTCGATGCGTCTACCTATATTCTTCTACCATGCTTTATTAGTTCATACCTATGAGATGTATTGAGGCAGCGGTGCTCAAGAAGAAATATCTGTTTTCAGTCAAATTTCTCTTTGCTTATTTAAATCAAGAACAAAACAGTGTTAAGTCATTATTTATACAAATATTTTTTATCCATTTGCTTTATAAACTATTTTGGCAAACATTCGTGTTTAAAAACAATTAAATAGAACCGTAAAATAAAAAGAAAAACAGAATTTTAATTTTCTCTTAAATTATCTCTTTTTTCTCTTCATGTTCTAGAACACGGTTTTGAGCACCCATGGTTGAGGTGTAAGTACATTAGAAGCTTGAAGTCATGGCTAGGCATATTTTGTGTCATTTCATAAAGGGAGTACAGAGCCGCACTAAAATCCTGCTGTCGTTTTCCATTATAATTTGACATTGATATGCCTAGCCATGGCTCAATAAGAAAGGTTCATGGTAGAAGAATATAGGGAGATGCATCCACGCTTGCGAACATTGATATGTCAAAATTTTAAAATTGTTTTGTCAAAAATAAGTACATTTTTATATATTTTCTTATACGATACAAATCGGAGGTTGTTACAATATGCATTTCTCAACAGTTTTCACAAATTTTAATAATTTTTCATTCAACATTTTCAATTCCAAAATCGGTTTGACAGTTCATTGTCCCAGCAGCTGTGTCGAAGCGACTACCTGTATTCTTCTACCATGGAAAGGTTGTTCAACTTCAAAGAAAGTAGAAAAATGCAACTCTGTGCTGGAGCCTCATAGTGTCAGATAATATTTTAAATATGCAATAGTAGGTTTTGTTTATTTTTATATATTTTTTTTGGTTTCTGTCATGGGAGAATTAAGGAGGTAACATAGTGCAATCATATGTTTACATTTTTTTAAATTACCCATATGAAAACATCTCATTGTCAAAATGTTTATTTATAAGTCTATTGAATGTTTCGAAATCGGAGATGAGAACCTGTTTTCAATGAAGTTTAATTTGACAAGATAAATATGCTTATTGGAAATGAGGTTACCAACTTAATTCTACCAAGGAAATAGGTCAGTTTTACGATGAAGTTGAAATAAAGAAATACAGATCTAAAGATTTTACACTAGCTCTGACGCATGGCTTTTTTCTAAAGATAAGAAATTACAACGTAACAACCCGTCATTTCTGTGCATCGGAAAATATAGTTACTAAAAAGAATGGAAAAGAAATTAGCTTATATTTGAGTAAACAAACAAATTAATCATCGCAAAGAAAAAACAGGAATGACAGTAACTCAAAGAATATAGGCAAATAGCAAAACGTAAATACGTCATTTGTTTAAGAAGTCATTATCTAATTATTGTACTTTTAAATATTTTTTTTATTTTGAATTTTATTTTTATGAATTGATTTTGTATAATGCATACATTTTTTACTGAATAATAGAATGTTTAAATTTTTTCTGTTGGACCTGATTAATGAGGGGTTTTTTGATGTACATACCGTAAAATTCCACTGAATTTAGATTTAAATGGTCATATCCATTACTTATATTTAAAAAAAATCCTCTTGATTTAGGTTAAACCTGCAAAAAAATCTAATGTAAACATGACATTACTATAATAAGCTACATGGTAGTCGCATCCACACAGCTGATGGGATAGTGAAATGTCAAACCAATTTTGGAATCGAAGTTTTTGAATGAAAAAATTATTCAAATTTGTAAAAATTGTTTAAAAATGCATATCTTAAAAACCTTTGATATGCGCTGTATAAGAAATTCTAAAAAAAATCTACTTATTTTTGAAAAATCGTTTAATTTTTTTTGACATATCAATGTTCCCGGGTTGGATGCATCCACTTGTATTCTTTTACCATGATAAGCTATTCTATCTCACATGTTTCAATTATTATTTAAAACAATATTATTACTTCCAAGAATTTGTATTCTAATTGAAGAAAATTAGGCCATCGGCCGGAGGCAGCCTCATCAAATGTAATTCTCATCACTTATCATTGAAAACAATTAAACAACTTGTTAATGTTTGCATTAAACAAATCGAGTGCAATTATTTGGTCGCGTGGCTATTCAATCATGATTTTTTGTATTTTCCAGTAAACGTGATGTACGACGTAGTACGTTTAAATGGTATTAATTTATTTAATACCTTTAATGCACTTATAATTGTCAATGGAAACATTTTGCATATACTTTTTAAATATTTATTTATTTATATTTACAGTTTTTAATATTTCAAAACAATCACATTATGTTCGATCAATTGTCATAATTAAAAGGTTTCAATATAAACGTAGCCATTTGTAATTTACCTTGTCAAATTTCACTGAATTAAAAAAGGTTCATATCTCTGATTTCTATGTATACTATGGATATAAAAATATAATTTTTGACAATGAGATGTTGTCAAACGAATAATTTTGAAACAAAATTGTTCTTGTTTTCTTTGAGGTCTTACTTTAATTTCGCGTCGTGACAATTTCAAACTAATTATGAATGAATATCTTATAGTTGTATTTATTACAACATATTTTAAAGTAATTTACATAATCATAATTCATAATATAAGAAACGGTCAGTAATTATTTTCTTTGATTTAAAATGATTGTCTTTTTTAAATATTTTTGTGTCAGCGCCACGAAAAACTCGTTTTAAATTACAAAAAATTATTTTTAATAATTGGATTAAATTATTAGTTATGTTGCATAGTCTAAAGCACCCTTAATAAGAAAAGACTGTTTATAATAACACTAATTTTATGAGAATAATCTGGCTTTCTCTTTACTCTCCATTCAGGTTTTCCTTATATTAACCTAACATTAACTATATATCCTCTTTTTGACCATGCAAGTACTCTGTATATGTTTTTTTATAATTTCACTTTAGATAATTAATTCCTTTCCCGTGTTACAAAGTCTATAGCACCCATATGTAAACACAGCTGACCAGCCAAAATACTTTAGTACTTTTTGACCGTTGCTTTTACATTTCATTGACATTACAGTAATTTATTTCTCTCCTCTACCTACGTCTGTGCAAAAAACGTGTTAAGATCAATTAAATAATATTTAAATACGAGCGATAATATTATTAATCGATTTACCAAATAAAAATAGTTATTAAGGTAATCAATCAAAGCATGGAACGTGATACACTTGTGGATTACAATTAAATGTAGTTAAACAATTACAATTAAGCAGCCAATAATCATCTTCATTAAACGTACAATGTGCGAGTAAGGGAGAGAGCGAGCGTGCAAGAGAGGGAGACTAATGTGCGTTCACATATCAAGAGTATAAAATTGGTGTGCTCATGTACTCTCTTTTGTTGTGTTATAAAAGAACATGTCACTTCGAAACCCAACGAATCAGCCATCAGTATTAAAACGGGCGGCATAGCCAACGATCGGCAAATACTTGGCGTATTTCACAATTTGTAGTTCTTTGAAAAGACCAGACGACATATAAAAAAAGAAAGAAAGAAAATAAAACCTAAACAAAACGGAAGTTCAAACCAAATTGCACAATATCGACGTACCATCTCGTAGAAGTTGCAAGAAGAAAATTCACATAGAAACCCAATAGCAAAAAAGCAAAGACAAAATTTTGTTGGAAATAAAAGTGTTCTAATTTGAGAAACGACCAAAAGAAAGAACAATTAACCGGCAGAATCATGTTTAATCTTATGATTTTAGTAAGCAGTTTCGTGTGCTATATAGCCTTTATCCTGTGGCAGTCAGTGAGGAAGCCGAAAAATTATCCACCTGGTAAGTTGGGTTTTTAGAGTAAGAGGTGATAATGTGAAGTATTATAAGAAAATTTAAATTGAAGAACAATTTTGTATTTAATGTAGGCGAATTGATTTAAATACTGATACACAGGAGTCTGAGCCTTGACCTGACACATAAAAGGTGGAAAAATTTTTTTTTGGTGAAAAGAAATAATGTTCGAAATAATTGGTGCAAAGTATAAGGCCATAACAAAAATGTTGTCTAACCATCCTCTTGCCGTTCTTTTAAAATTGTAACAAGTTAAAAAGCCCCCGTCAGACACTTGTAAAAATTATAACATGGGTGTGAAAATTATCAACTATTTTTTTCCATTCAAAATTTGATTGAAGATTTAGTTTGAGACTCACACACGGATTTTTAATGGAAAACTGAATTTATTGCAGCAGACGAGAAGACAAGGTGGTACTTTCCTATCAAATCATTTGAGCGCCATTATTTTTTTATCGTAGAACTATTTCAATAGCATTCTTTTCTAGATCTGCCGAGATTATTAATTAATTATTACCTCAGCCTACGGAGGGTACATATCATTTGATACGGCTAAAATGTGCCTCATCGAAATAACGGTTTTAGACCCTAGGTCCCATTGGAGCAAATCCGTTTCAAGACAGTTTAAGTCGATCTACCAATATCCGTCGGTCTGTCTGTCTGGCTGGTGAGCACGATAACTCGCGTAGGGAGTATCCGATTTGATCCAAACTTGGTATATCGTAATATTATTATCAAACTCAGATCGAGTTCAGAGAAGGGCAATATCGGTCCACTCCTTCTGGTTACACCACACAAAAGGTCGAAAAAAAATACTTCCCAGAAAGAGGAGGAATAATCCGATTTTGCTCCAACTTTGCAAGACTTAATATTTTCATCAGTTCAGGTGCGAAAAAGGACAATATCGGCTCACTCCATCAAGTACCGCTCCCACAAAGGTTCAAAATTTTGAACTTTTATAACTCTTATAAAATGTGATGTTAGAGTCCGATTCTTTTCAAATTACACACATCACAATATTTTTATTAAGCCAAGGTCTGGTGTGAAGATGGAATATATCGGTCCACTTCATCTGGTACCTGCCCCACAAAATATCAAAATTTTGAATATTCATGAAGCTCATAAAACACGAAATTAACATCCGATTCCTTTCAGATTTGGCACAGCTCAATATTTTCATCAGAAAAAGAACTGTTATAAATATGGTAGAGATCAGTTCATTCCTTCTGGTACCCCACCCCCCCCCCCCCACCAAAAAAGATTCATCGTTTTGAATAACACAAACGATCATAAAATCCGAAATAAGTATCCGATTCTTTTCAAATTACACACATCACAATATTTTTATTAACCCAAGGCCTGGTTTGATGATGGGATATATCGCTCCACTCTTTTTGGTACCTTCCCCACAAAGGACAAAATTTCATTTGGGCGCCACTCTTGAGTTCTATCAAATTTAATTTCTCAATAAATTAAAATGTTTATCAAAATCGTAGTACTTAAAATACCTGATTCCCATTCATTGAAATCATATTCCAGATCCTTCCTAGAACTTATTTCCATTACATAATATAATAGTAGTCGTATAATAACAAAACTCATATTCTAAACGACATCCATAAATCTATGATAATTGAAATTGAGAAATTGAATGCAACTATTTTTGGGTTGTCTTTTGTGTCAATCAAATGTTTGCCTGAGGTGTCATTGGAGAAACTGTTGACAATGGCATAAAAATACGCGAAAGCAAAAAAAAAAACGTATTGCAAATCAAAACCATGTAAATATGAATGAATTTGTGGCGTCAGTTTTACAGTGGAGACTCTCTAAAAGGGATGGCAGGGAGGGTACAAGTTTATGCAACAGACTGATATACTCATAGTAGAATTAAGAAATTAAAATCATCAAAATACCGATATAGGGAGGTACCGTTATATGGGGGCTATACGAAGACCTGGACCTGCACAGACAATTTTCTGTCTTAGGCTGTAGTATCTATTACGAACTTCAAATAACAAATTTGAAACAATTCCGGTGAATAATGTCGCTAAAATCAACAAAATACCGAATATCGGGAGGTACCGTTATATGGGGGCTATACCAAAATACCTACATGGGCCATTTTTAATAAGAAAAGTCCTGCAGACGTAGTATACACTTGAGTAAAATTTTATCAATTTATCTCAATTCCTTCGGAAGCTGGAGTGATTTCCACAGATGGGCGGACATCGCTAAATCGACATAGAATTTTATGCTGATCAAGAATATATATATACGTTTTGTGGGGTCTAAAATGTATATTTCGAGGTGTTACAAACGGAATGACGAACTTAATATTCCCTCCATACTATGCTGGAGGGTATAAAAATGAGTTACGACAACGAGACGTGGTCAAAGGTGTAATTTTGAAAAATTGTAAACATATGATTGCGCGATGGTAAAATTAAAAAGGTACAGGTATTTCAAATAAGCATACCCATCTCTGCATTTTCTGTAATTTACCCTGTCATAAAATCTAGGGTTCCCCGCTCTGATCATAAATACAAATTTTGACAATGAGATGTTGTCAAATGGAGAATTTTTGAAAAAAAAAAAAAAATATTACCTTCTTGATTCTACCATGGATTGCATAAGGCTACCTCCTTAATTTTATCATGAATTTCCAAAGTAAATGGGTTTTACTGTAAAAATACTTACGTTTGTTATTAAATTATGAGAAAGCCAATATGACAATTTTCTTCTAATTAGGATAGTTTTAGCGGAAATTCCGATATGGAAAATGAGGCCGTTGTTGAGATGATGCAATATTGAATTAGAATTGCAATATAAATTGCAGCACGAGAAACATTAAGTAAAAAAACATTAAGTTCGGCCGGGCCGAAATTTTAGGGTAATGGAAACACTAGGGTAATGGAAACTTAGGGTAATGGAAACACTAGAACCAATTATGAACCACAAATATCAATTTTTAGACATATTCGTTGGAAAATTTGGGAAAAATCATCAAAATACCGAATATCGGAAGATACCGTTATATGGATGTCATACCAAAGCGTGGACCTATACATACAATGTTTCAGCGCACGAATTAGGACCCATTATGACCTACAAATACCAATTTTCAGACAAATCCGTGATAAAATGTGACAAAAACCATCAAAATACCAAATATTGGAAGATACCGTTATATGGGGGCTATACCAAAACGTTGACCTATACATGCAAAGTTGCGCCACCGGAGTTATAATCCATTATGACCTACAAATACCAATTTTCAGACAAATCCCTGAAAAAATATCGTAAAAATCATCAATATACCGAATATCGGGAGGTACCGTTATATGGGGGCTATACAAAAACGTTGACCTATAAATGCAAAGTTTCGCCACCGGAGCTAGAACCCATTATGACCTACAAATACCAATTTTCAGACAAATCCGTGAAAAAATGTGGTAAAAATCATCAAAATACCGAATATTGGGAGGTACCATTGTATGGGGACAATACCAAAACGTGGACCGATATATCTCATTTTCAATACCAACCATCCTAGATACAATAGAAATTATTTTGCTAAATTTTGACGCTCTACGTCAAATAATGTGGGCTGTATCGGAATGACAAAGTTAATATACCCTCCTTTCCAAGGTGGAGGGTATAAAAATAAAGTGGTGTACACACTATCGAACAAGGTTGCCATTTATTTTAGCTGAAGGCAGAAAGTAAAACAGATTCTTTGTGCGTGGTTTATCATTTTACCTTGACACTTTATCTTAAACTGGGCCAAATCGAATGATATTATCAGACCCAAAAAGTTCACAGACTTTGTGGAAATGTCATAAAAATTAAAATCAATAAATGACCAATTAAGGAAAATGGTCAAAAATCATTGACTGTCCGCAAATTTTAAGGCATAATTTGTTATCCAGAATGATAACACTTGAAAAAGTGAATAAATCTATACAACTTTTTATTACAATAATACCAATAAATTAATTACTTAAAGGTAATGACACATAAAATTATAGCGGGATTGTCTGCTTTGTCAAATGTCAAAGTACTGTATGACCATGGTATAAGAATACAGGTAGATGCATCAACGCTTGGGAACATTGATATGTCAATATTTTTTTTTTTTTAATAAATAGATTTTTTTAATTTTTTTTATACGACACCAATCGGAGGTTGTTATGATATGCATTTTTCAAGAATTAGTACAAATTTAAATAATTTTTCATTCAACATTTTTAATTACTAATAATATTTATTATCCAAATTAAAAACATTTGCAAAAAAGGTAAAAAATCTATACAATTTTTTATTACAATAATAACAATAAATAAATTACTAAAAGGTAATGACACATAAAATTATGGCGGGATTGTCTGCTTTGCCAAATGTCAAAGTACCGTATGACCATGGTATAAGAATACAGGTAGATGCATCGAAGCTTGGGAACATTGATATGTCAAAAATTTTTGAAATTTTTTTTTTTTCCAAAAATAAATAGATTTTTATAAGTTTTCTTATACGACACCAATCGGAGGCTGTTATGATATGCATTTTTCAAGAATTTGTACAGATTTAAATAATTTTTCATTCAACATTTTTAATTACAAAATTGGTTTGACAGTTCACATTGTCCCAGCAGCTGTGACGAAGCATCTACCTATATTCTTCTACCATGTTTATGACGCAGAATAGAAACTTTTTTTTTATTTATTTATTTTATTTTTTTTTTTCGAAAAAAAAAAAGCTTGAACCGTGTTCCTTAACATGATCTACACGTTTTCCCTTTTCATGACGTGACTCTCTAGACTCTCATAATTGTAAACATATGTTCCATTTATCGATAATGCTCATATATTTGATAGATTATTGCTTATCGCCAGAGATTAGATGGAGTAAAACTAAAGGAAACCAAACTACCTCTCTTTAAAAAAACTTAAATTTTGACGGCTACCTACCAGCCCACCTAAATAAATTTTATTACGATCCATAAATTATGATTGAATAATTTTGATTTTATTCGGAGTTTAGAGATAGAAAAATAAATGGGACAAAAAAGTAGTGGTGAAGGGGGAAAACGTTTTTATACCCTTCACCATACATAGTATGGGCATGGTAGATGAATATAAGTAGAAGCATCGACACAGCTGCTGGGACAATGAACTGTCAAACCACCTTTGGAATTGAAAATGTTGAATGAAAAATTATTTAAATTTGTTGAAAAACACGAATTATAATAGCCTCCGAATGATGTAGTATAAGAAAACATATAAAAATCTACTTATATTTGAAAAACATTTACAATTTTTTGACATATCAATGCTCCCAAGCGTTGACGCATCTACCTGTATTCTTCTGCCATGGTATGGAGGAAATAATGATTTTAGACCCTGAAAAATAATTGTCTATATAGAAACACAATATCGTATACCCCCCATATAACTGCACCTTCCGATATTCGATATTTTGATGATTTTAGCCACATTTTTTAATGGAATTGTCTGCAATTCTGCTCAAGGAGTTCTCCCTGACTACTTTACCCCCTGGAAGAGAATTGTCTATATAAGTCTACATTACAGTATACCACCCATATAACGCTACCCCAAGATATTCGGTATTTCCAGGATTTTTGCGACATTATTCACCAGAATTGCGTTAAATTTCGTTTTTGAAGTTCGTAATGGGTACTACAACCTATGACGGAAAATTGTTCACCTCTTAGTATAGCCCCCATACAACGGAAACACCTACCTTTATTCGGTATGTTGATGATATTAGCAAAATTATTCACCGGAATTGTTTCGAATTTCATATTTAAAGTTCGGAATCGTTACTACAGCCTATAACAGAAAATTACTTATCCAGCACCACGTCTTCGTACAGCCTTCATATAAAAATGTTCATTTCAGTGGTATTTTTCCACGATTTTTTTTTTGGAATTTTTTCAAGTTTCTTCCGTATGTTGGCGGAGAGTATAAAAAGATCGGTTGATGACTTAAGCCAGTGAAAAAAGCCTTTTTTCACTCTTACCTTTATAGCAACAGATATCTGAAAAAAGCTTTCGATCAAAACTAATAGTGTATACCCCACATAACTTTCTGTGTCTGCCATTCGATGTTATCGATTAACATAAAAGAGATAATGTATTGTTTACACAGCATATTTTTGGTGACCTTTCACGAATTCATTTATAACCTCACACATTTCTATGTTTTTATATTTTTCAAAATTAATTCATTAAAACGGCTTGGGAATTCTGTTATGATACGTGAGAAAATGTTTGTTCGAACAATCAATTTCAAAATTAAATAAAAAAAATCATAGCAATAATAAAAAAAATAGTTGGCAACTATTGTCATTAATGAAAACGTGCTATCCGTGAATATCATTATTCAAAAATTGGGTTCGATTTCATTGAATGTATGGTTGATTGTGTGAAATTAAATGTTAACTAAAATTTTTCAATTATTGAAAACTGCAAAAGTTTCTAACATAAATTATTTGTTTTCCAAATAAATTGACATTTGTGTGAATCATGAAAATCAGCTGATCACAAATACAGTTGAAAATATTTGATGACAACTTTTCAATGACCAACATTACAAAGGGGGGTTTTGATGACCTTTACAAGGTCATGTAATTGACATTTATTAATCAAAGTTGAGTTATTCATTTGAATAGACTCACATATATTAAGACTCAGTTTCATTATATGACAATCAGCTGATTAATCTAATACAATGTCCATACGGGAATTTTAGCTGTAACTTTTTCGAATTAAATTAGCTTTTTTATAGAAATGGAACTAGCATTGAAATATAGGAGGCAATATTACTACCAGTAAGAAAAGTTCAAAAGTCGGGCGGGGCCGACTATATGATACCCTACACCACTATGCGTATTTAGAAGAGCTCCCATAACAAATAAATTTATATTGGGAATTTATGTGAAGCAGATCATCCAACTATGAGATTTATTTGAATGCGTATCATGGCTATAGAGTAGTCACAATTTGGGAACTATATCCTACTCTGAATCGATTTTCAACAAAGAATATAGGTAGACGCATCGACACAGCTGCCGGGACAATGAACTGTCAAACCATTTTTGGAATTGAAAATCTTGAATGAAAATTTATTTAAATTTGCACAAATTTTTGAAAAACATATATTATAATAACCTCCGTCGTCCGTGACGTCGTATAATAAAACGTATACAAATCTACTTATATTTGAAAAGATAATGAAAAATGTTGATGCATCTACCTGTATTCTTTTACCATGTGTCCTACATAATGTCATGCAATTGACGTTTACTAATCAAGCATGAGTTATTCATTTCAATAGACCCACATATATTAAGATTGAGTCGTAGTTTAAAAATACAGTTAGATGCATCAACGCTTGGGAACATTGACACGTCAAAAAATTTTAAAGTTTTTTTTTTTCAAATATAAGTAGATTTTTATATGTTTTCTTATACGACGTCACTCGGAGGTTATTATAATTTCCGTTTTTCAAAAATTTTTACAAATTTAAATAATTTTTCATTCAACATTTTCCATTCCAAAATTGGTTTGACAGTTCATTGTCCCAGCAGCTGTGTCGATGCGTCTACCTATATTCTTCTACCATGGATTCAGTTTCATTTTATGACAATCAGCTGATTAATATTATACAATGTTCATACGGGAATTGTTTTGGTCATGCTGTAAGCTTTTTCAGACTAAATGAGATTTTTGTTTTAGAAATGGGTATAGAATTGAAATATAGGGAGCAATTTTAAAATGAAAACAGTTTCTCTGTCATCTAAAAGTTAAAAAAAATCGGATTATTTGTATGTTTAAACTCTGTGAAACTCATGATAGAGTTCTTTTGAAGAATATTTACCAAAAGTCTTCAATGCTTTCTCTATGGTAAAATGAAGAAGGTAAAGCCATTTCAAAAAAGCATGCCCATCTGAAAATTTCATCGAATAAAAAACAGGTTCCCATCTCTGATTTCGGTGTATACAATGGATTTATAAATATAAATTTGAATAATGAGATATTGCCAAATGAATAATTTTGAAAAAATTGTAAGCATATGATTAAATGACTTCACCTTCTTAATTCTACCATGGTTTTCTCAAAGAAGTTAGAAAAAATTAACAAATACAAATTATATTTAAATTACAAAAAATTCACCATGAAATTGAAAAGTTATAATTTAAAATCATCCGGAATGACGAAAATTTTCAAAAAATTGTGCTTTTAAAAAACATTAATCACAATTAAATATATTGCTCTCATTTGCTTAACGCGTGGTTAACAGCAGCCACAGATGTTTTCACTTTTTTTGTTTATTTTTTTGATTTTAAAAACAAGTTTTCTTAAGAAAACCCCTTATAAATCAAATCGATGATGCTTTAGTTGTCTTGACTCAAAGAACAACTTGTTTTCTTATTTTTTTTTAAAATAAATCATTAAACTTTCGAAAATTTCAATATTTTCACCTGAGGATTGACCACATCATTTGTCATTTTGCCAAAGCAAAAGATGTACTCAAAATTATGACAGAGTACAAATTATGACATAATGAGAGAGAGTGTGTGGAGAGCAATTTTGAGAGTTTAGTTACTGAGAGTTTGCAAATTCCTTGGGAGAATGTTTCAAGTAAGAATTATCCATTGTCATCAGCTGTTTGAAAATCGTCTGTTTTGGGGCTGATGGAAGTAAAAACATTATAAACGAGGCTACCTTCTTAATTCTACCATGTAAAAAATCTACAACTTTTATTTGTTTACACCTATTTTTTTACTTTTTGATGTCATTACTCATAATGCCTTCATCTGTTGATAAAAAAATCAGCTGTTTTATCGCCAGCTAAATTTGATCAAAATTCTGTCCGCATATGAGGCTACCTTAATTCTACAGTGAGAAAAATTCATTTATTTTTTTACCCCAAATGTTTACTTGTCTATTTTTTTAATAACCTTTCTCTCCTCTCTTTCTTGAATTACAGGTCCCGATTGTGTGCCCTGGGTTGGCAATACGATACAACTGCGCAAGGAGGCTCGGGCCTCTGGAGGACAACATAAGGCCTTTGAGAAATGGTCCAAGACGTACAACAGTGATGTTCTAGGCCTAAAACTGGGCAGTGAATTGGTGGTGGTTGCCCTGGGTTATGAGATGCAAAAGGATGTCAATCTTCAGGAAGTCTTTGAGGGACGTCCCGACACATTCTTTTTGCGTTTACGTACCATGGGCACACGTAAGGGCATCACCTGTACGGATGGCAAACTATGGTATGAACATCGTAACTTTGCCATGAAACAAATGCGCAACGTGGGCTATGGACGTTCCGAAATGGAGCAGCACATCGAAAAGGAAACGGAAAGTCTGCTGAAGTATATTGAATCGTTTGAGGGTGGATTGGTTTGTCCCTCCACATTTTTGGCACAAAGTGTCATCAATGTCCTGTGGTCCATGACGGCCGGCAAACGATTTGAGAGAGGTGATAAGCGCATGGCAAGGTTGTTGGATTTAATGGGACGCCGCTCCAAGGTTTTCGATATGTCCGGTGGCATTTTGACGCAATTTCCCTGGTTACGTTTTGTGGCGCCCAACAAGACGGGCTACAATTTAATACGTCAATTGAATGCGGAAATGTTTAATTTCTTTATGGAATGCATTGATGAACATAAGGCCTCGTTGAATAAGCAAACCGAGGATGGCGACCTGATCTATGCCTATCTGCGGGAAATGCAAAAGGAACTGAGTAACAACAATGAAAACAGTACCTTCAATGAGACCCAGCTGGTGATGACTATTTTGGATTTATTTATTGCCGGCTCACAAACCACCAGCACCACAATGGATCTGAGTCTCATGACACTGGCCATGAAACCGGAATTGCAAAAGAAGATCTATGAAGAGATCAAATCGAATGCCAAACACAATGAGTTTCCCAGTTTGGGTAACAAGGCCTATTATCCCTTGACGGATGCCTTTCTCATGGAGGTTCAGAGATTTTATCACATTGCTCCCATAACAGGGCCACGCAGGGCTCTTTGGGACACGAAATTGGGTGGCTATGACATACCGAAGAATACCACAATTCTGATGTGTCCCTTTACCGTTATGAAGGATACCAAACATTGGGGTGATCCCGAAGAATTCCGGCCAGAACGTTTCATCAATGATGAGGGTAAAACCTTTAAAGATGAGTACTTTATTCCCTTTGGCATGGGTCGCCGGCGTTGTTTGGGTGATGCCATGGCTAGGGCATGCATATTTTCATTCATCGTCTCGATTTGTCAAAATTTTGAGCTGGTTCTCAGTGACAAAGAAGAAGATCAACCATCGTGGACCCTGGTGCCGGGTATAACGCTGTCCGCCAAGCCATATAAAATTAAATTTGTTGCACGTTCATGAGAGAAATTAAGTCAAATTAAGGCAGGTGATTGCATTGATGGCCGGCACACAAAATCACACATACGTACCCAGAGTAGTGGAGAGAGGTCAGTCAGCCAGTAGTCAGCATCATCCCATAGAAGCTTTGTATACAAATTTTCTATAGAAAACAATTTTAGTTTTAAGATTTTTATTTTTTTGTTATTGTTATTTTCTTTTTATCTATATATTCTACATATGTACATATAAACAAAAACATACATACAGACATACCCACACGATCATCATCAAGAAACTTAATCAAATCTTTTGTGTAAATAAATGGTTTCAATTTAAATAATAATTTTTTAAAGAAAAGAGTACGAAAATGAAAATCTTTTACGTTCCCATTTAAGAGGATCATATGCAGACTTTGATGTAGAATTTGATGTATACAGGGGGCGCAAAAGTAATCCTCCTATCAGAAAATGTCATACATTTTACGATTAGCCCCTAATTCTCATATGAACCACAAAAAGAATCTTAACTTTATATGTTTTTTTACCATTTTTCCAAGTCAAGGACCAAAATGACCCACTAGAGCGTGTGTTAGAGGGTTAAAATGTTCTACGAAAATTTAGCTTAAATTGTTTTCTACAAAAATGCTAAAGGCATGTCAGACCTAAAACCAAAGGATCACAAAGAAATCGAGTCATTACGAAATCAATTCAAAGACATCGCCTTTACAAAGGCGTAATGAAAAGATAAAGCATACTTTCAGGCGTTGTCACAAAGAGACCATTCACAAGTAATGGCAAATCATCAATAATTTATTATACCCTCAGCCACATGGCTACAGAGGGTATATATATCATTTGATATGGTCAAGACGTGCCTCATCGAAATACCGATTTTAGACCCTCTTTGGACCAAATCCGTTTCAGGACATTTTAAGTCGATATAGCAATGTCCGCCTGCTTGTCTGTCTGGCTGGTGCTCACGAAAACTCTAGAAGATAGCATCCAATTCGATCCAAACTTGGTACATCGTAATATTATTATCAAACTTAGATCGAATTCGGAGATGGGCAATATCGGTCCACTCCTTCTGGTACCTCACCCACAAAATGTCAACATTTTCAAATAACATGATTTACTGCACAGAAAGAGAAGGGATAATCCAATTTTGTTCCAAATTTGCATATCCTAATATTTGAATAAGTGCTAGGCCAGGTGCGAAAATGGACAATATCGGTTCAGTCCATCAAGTACCTCCCCCACAAAGGGTCCAAATTTTGAATAAATATAACTCTTACAAAATGTGATAAAGATGTCCGATTGTCTTCAAATTACACACATCGCAAAATTTTTATTAACCCAAGGTCTGCTGGGAAGATGGAAAATATCGGCCCACTCCTTCTGGTACCTCCCCCACAAAGGGTCAAAATTTTTTAATATTCATGAAGCTCATAAAACGCGAAATTAACCTCCGATTCCATTCAAGCTTGGCACATCTCAATATTTCCATCAACACAAGATTTGTTATAAAGATGGTACATATCGAACTATTCCTTCTGGTACATCCCACCCATAGGGTCAAAGTTTTGAATTACAAATACGATCATAAAATCCGAAATAAGCATCCGATTCTCTTTATATTTCACTTATCCTTTTATTTCTACTAACACAAGATATGCTGGGAAGTTGTAATATATCGGTCCACTCCTTCTGGTACCTCCCCCACAAAGGGTCAAAATTTTGAATATTCATTAAGCTCATAAAACGGGAAATTAACATCCGATTCCAATCAGATTTGGTATATCTCAATATTTCTATCAACACAAGATGTGTTCTAAAGGTGGTAGAGATCGGACCATTCCTTCTGATACCTCCCCCAAAAAGGGTCAACATTTTGAATAACCAAAACGATCATAAAATCCGTAATAAGTATCCGATTCTCTTCAAATTACACACATCACAACAAAGGGTCAACATTTTGAATATTAACACCCGTTTCCATTTATCTCAATATTTCTATCAACGCATGATTTTTTGTAAATGTGTTAAAGATCTGATCATTCCTTCTGGTACTTTCCCAACAAAGGGTCAAAGTTTTGAATGCCTAAAATTAAAGGATCACAAAGAAATCAATTCATTATGAAATCATTTCAGTCATCTTCCTTGCAATATTATCAATCAAAATGTAAAGCATACTTCCAGGCGTTGCCACAAAACAGGCCATTTACAAGTAATGACAAATCATCTGCCATTTGTTTTCCCTCCATTACAAACTCAATAATTGTTATTTTTTTGCAATTTTCATTGTTGTTGTTAATTTTTATTTATTCATACATTATTTTATTTTTATATTTTCTTTTATTATTACAAAATGTTTTTAAAACATTAGTACATTATTATTATTACGATGTTAAGATGAAAAAATAAAACTTTGTATTGTTGTTGTTGTTGCTGTTGTGAAATAGATAAATTAAAAAGTTACATTTAAAATGTGTGTTGTTGTTGTTACTGTTAATTTTTTAACGATCATATATAATAAATACATTTTCTTGCTGTTTTTTTCTTTTGGTTTATTTAAATATTCTTTGTATTACAGTGGGGTGTGTTTGTTGTAAGAGACAAAGTTATTTAATTTTAATTACATACAGATTTTAATTAACAATATGTGTTATGGATTATACATTTTCGAAAAAACAGAAATATTTAAATAAAAGTACTTAACTTTGATTTCTTGTTGGTTTTTCCCGTTCAAACGGTCGGCGGTGTTTCCGCTTAAATTCAAACTGTTGCAAACTTTTTTTCGATTTTACTAAATTTCACTTATACCTAGCTTCTGCTTCTTGTTCATCTATGTGTACTCTCTTCACTGCTCTCAATAAATATTTATTTACCTAAATTATTTTTCCTTGTGGTATTTGCCTACATAGTCTATATATATAGATATATATCTCTTTGTTTTCCATTAGCTAAATTTGTTACCCATATATGTATGTATATATATACTTGATCTCTATATATTAAATGTATATATATTTATGTATATATCATTAACGTTTACTTATCACTTGTTTACTTCACTTCTTTGTATTGTTATGTTTCCACAATTTTTTTATTCTTGTTTCATATTCTCATTTGAATCACTTTTCATTTGCATCTTTAACAGGTTCATTTTGTTTTTTTTTACATTTTTGTTGTTGTTTTTTAATTGTTAATAAATAAAAGAAAAACGTAATGAAGGCAGTAGGTATGAAATATACATAAAACACTGTGCAGCATAGTTGGGCTCCAAAAAAAATAAATAAATAAAAAACATATATAAAAAATACGTTTTGAAATAAAAGTTTTGAAACGAAAATTTTAGAAAATAATTGTTAAAAACAAATATAGATTTTTTTAAAATATCCACAAAAAAAAAAATTGCCGAGGAATTTGAGACTGAACATACCCTGTATCAGTTCTGACTTGTATTATCCATTTGGTGCACAATTATCTTGAAATCGGACGAAGATATATATGGGAGCTATATCTAAATTTAACTTGGGTCAGACAAATGATTTGGGCAAAATTTCATCTGGATCGGGTAATAAATGCGCCCTGTACATTGTTTACAAAAATACATGGACTGACGGACGGGCGGAGATGCATAAATTGGCTCAGGATGTGATTCTATACAGATCATCAAAAGGAACCATGGGTCTATCTCGTTTCCCTTTGCTTGTTACAAACAAATACCCAAAGATATAATACCCTTACCACAATCAAAACGTATCTTCAAGAAAAAAATTTCCACGAAATGCTTTGAGTCATGTGACTGAACATACCCGGTACCTAATTTTTAAATATATCAAAGAATCGAATAAGAAAATTTTGATTTTGGAACATTTTTTCCATACGAAACACCAAAGTGGCCCTCAGAGGTAGCCACTAGAGTGGGTTAATATATAAAATATGTTCTGAAAGATTTTTTCTGTTATGTTTTTTTTTTAACAAGACTGAACATACTCCATATTTTAAAGAATAAATGAATACGGAGAAATCCTAGAGCAAAGAGCCTGAATTAACCTATGGATGATGGGTTAACAATTCAACTCAAAGATGTTCCTGGTAGTTTTTATTAATATACTACAGAAATATGGGGTATATTTACAATACATTCCCGTTTAGATAAAATATCAAGATTTGTTAACTCTTCGTTGACTATTAGTTTATCTAGAATTGCTGACCATTCTAGACGGTTCCAATTTAAGTATCACAAGGAATTTATTTTTTCCCTGCACATTAAGGATCTAAATGACTACGAAATGAAGCCAACCAACAACTTTTCACATCATTATTCAAGAATTGTTAGTCACTCATTACTTCACAGTGTTACTGAACATACCCAATACCAACAACTATTATTTCTGGCAATATTATAAGGATGATCGTTTTCATTCTTTTTTTTCAAATATGTTCCTAAAACATCCCTACAACGAATTACAGAATTTTTAGACGTTTTATAGGCCACAAAAAAAAATACAGAAGTTCGATAATCCCGTAATTTCGTCGTCGACTTAAATTAGTCGTTAGGTTGATTTCATATCTTTGAGTTTTATTTATATAAAGGACAGAAAGCAACCCGCCAAAGTTAACGGGTTAATATATTCCAAAAATATGTGGCTAACAGTTATTCAGACAACATCTCTGAACATACCCTATGGCGACAAAGTGGGGATCACAAGTAGTTTTAATCTAAATCATTGTTTTCCGCCAAACAACTCTGTTTATAGTATTACTGAACATACCCCACATCTGAAATATAATAATTCTGCAGAAACTTAGGTAGATTTTTCGTTTTTGAGGTTTATTTAAACTAAGGACAATAGCGCTGAACATACCTTATGGCTCTGAAGTATCCATACTTAACAAGGAATTTTAATCTAAATCGTTGTTTTTGCCTCTTTTAAATGTCTTGACTTGACTACAATTTTTCGCAAAAATATATACTCTTCCTTTATTTCACAATATTACTGAACGTATTCAATTGTGAAAAAGTAAGTATCAAAAGGAATGCTTCAATGGGTCCAAAAAGAAGAGCAAGATCTTTAAAAAGTCCTACAAAAATGTTTCAACTTTCTGGTACAAAATAACTGAACACATACCATGACTTAAATAGGGAACACTAGGCATATTATTATTATTCATTGGTTGACTGAACATACCCTATGAATATAAATGTAAATTGTATAAACAGAAAAAAGTAAATTATCAATTTGAAAAAAAAAAAAAAATACAAAATGAAACAAGGGAAAATAAGAAAACTAAATAATTATTAGAAATTAAATATCTTAAAATTAAATATATCTTC